ATTGAAATACCAAACATTTTATACAGAAGAAAAAAAAGTGCAATAGATGTTTTAAAAAATAATAAGAAAGCAAGGGTAGGTGTAACTTACTTGGTAATGCTTACGAGTATTTGGTGACGAGGTCAACCGTGATCATCGAGGCGGTTTCTCTAGGTGTGACTATGTGATTAGCTCAAATTTTAATAATATAATCTATCAAAATTATTATATAAATTATATTTTAAAATGTATTTCTAACTTCATGAAAATCATAATTATTTCTTGAAATAATACTACAGACTATATTATTTTAGTATAAAAATCTAAAAATTATTATAATCTGTGATAATACTGTGTAGGCAATATAAAATGTTTTCAGCACTTTTTCGATTCATCTTAGACCTAATGAAATTGAAAAATTGAAAATTATATTTTGTAAAAGATACGTTTTAAAATGTTAATAAAGATTAGTGGAGTTAAAATTTAAGTTATACTTAAAGTAACTTTTATCAGTGAAATTCACAGGAAAATCTTCTATTAATAGAAGAATTAACATCACCAAAGCTAGATAAAAACGCGTGGTTCTCCTTATTCATTAATTTTTTTTATTCACTGTTATTTCATTAATATATAACTTATAACTAGGTTGACCAGGCATAAATTAGATATCAAAATAATCCCATAACTATTACTATTAAATCAAGTAATACAGTACAATTATAAAAGACAAAAATAACTTTATAAACAATAAAATAATAAAAATTAAAAATTGTAAATTTTATTATTATGCTATTAATTTATTTTTATTATCAGTTATTACTTCAAATATATGAAGGTATCAATAGAAAATTAATTTAAAATTAAAAAAATTGATTAATAAAACAAAATTTTACAATTACATTAGATATTAGTATGAAAGTATGTAACATTAAAATACGTTATTCAAAAACATAAAAGTATTTATACACATAAATAACTATATATTAGTTATAATTGAAAACAAAATAAGTTTGATTAAAAATATAAGTAACAAATTTTCTAAATCTTAAAATTATCAAACTTCAAATTCTTATACCTACTAAAATAGTTTAACCTCAATTAGTACTTTATAGCAAATAATCTAAATTATGGCTATTTTAATTTTAAATTAACAATTTTGTCATATAGTTCTCTGTAAAAATCCAAGAAAGTCCATTTAAACTGATATGTAATTTATTAATTTCATATTTAATTAGTTTATTTATTTATAGTTATGAATTATTTTACTATTTAGATGATAAAATGATCTTATGAAAAACTTAGAAAAGTCATCTTTATTGAACTTAGGATATACATTAAACATTTTAAATACTATATGTATAGTATAGTACAACACGTTGTCAACGAAAAATGCATAGAACTTTGACGTATGTGCGAAAATCAAATAGTAAATTATAATATATATTATATTATATTACACGTCGTTTCAATTATTTATTATCCGATAATTAATTCGTAGGAAATTTGTTTGTGTACTTCTCCGCTATTGTTTTAAAAAATTTTAATTACAATTAATATTTTAAAAATTCATTAAAACTAGTGAAAGGTCTTGGCCTACTCTCAGTGATGGCCTAGACCTTACTATGGACAACGACCATAGAAAGTAACTATAGCTTCAACCATGCGCTAACGCGCTTTCGGAATAGAGAATACTGTACAAGTAGAGGTACAAATAATTTGTCGCGACTGGGTATCATCACATTAAATTATAATTATTGTTAGGCTAATATTATTATGATTATGGGCCGTCATACATTTTAGTATTTATTATTCGTAACAGCATGCAGTGCATATTTTGCGCGGGGAAATGTAGATCGGAACGCGACGTTGTCCTAAATGACGTGTAGTCCACCTGCGATCTTTTAGAAATAACTAACTGTTCGAAATACAACGTTAAATATATCTTCTTGGACCAAAGTTTAATAAAAAAAATAACCTTCATCATACAAAATCGATATTCTAAACACGCATTATAATGTGTCAGTAGCGAGGCATAAGTAATTAGCGCTGTTAGCGATGCTCACAATTTTATTCATTCTTTCTCCATTCAATTTGAATATGAATTGAAATTAGTAAATATAATTTAATTTTACTTCAATATTTATAATTTGGCGTTACCTATATTATGATTCAAGAATAAAAACAATGGAAAAATGTAAATAATTAATTAATTAGTGTGGTGAGTTGGTTAACCACAATTATTGTATGATTAGTACTGCGGTCAAACACCACCTGGTGTTTTTATTTCCTTGATTACCATCTGGGTTTTTAGCTACGAAACTATGTCATCAAAACATATAATACAAAATATACCGACAAAAAGACAGTTACAAAAGTAACTTATTCGATTAGTGACTTGAATGACTAGGATTTTAAATAAAAACATTTTAAATCACATTAAAAAAAAAAAAATTATCAGCATAGGCCTATCCAAAATTTTTTATCAAGTCGTGCACTAGACAAATATATAATTGCAATACTAACCTAACCAGAAGAAAAATAAAATTTGATCTTGAAATTTTGAAAAAATCATTATTACCTTAAAATACATTTACGATTATAATTACAAATGTTCTAAATTCCTACTATAATTCTAAACATTGATTTGTTAAAATCATAACTTTAAACTAACATTAATTGATAATATAATTAAAGTCATATTTTGGAGCTCGTGTATGTGCATTAGAGGCAGGACCCATAGGCACTGCGTAAGGCTACGGTTACTATTGAATGGATTTCTAACAAAAATGTGTTCTGGCGGTTTCTGACAAATTCGTTAAAACAAATAAATGTCTGTTTTCCAATGAAAGTGTTTACACTGGAAGCGACCAACACGTCAGAACATACACGCCATCGTCAGAAATAGTTATAAATCAAATAAGTTTGATTTTTTTTATACAACTTGCGTCTATTATGGGTGTTTTCATGCCTTAAATTTCGATTGATTTGGTAAATTAATTTGGTTAATAAACCATGGATTACGATTAATTGATCATTCTTGTATACAATAATAGGTGTTCGAGAAATATGAGTGATAAAAATTATCATAACAGATATATTTCTCACCAAAAGTGGGAGAAAGTTGCTACAGAACTCAACACTAGCAGTTAGCAACACTAACTGCTGTAATTTAACAACACTTACCTCTCTGGTTGGTCCCATAATTCTGAAAATAACATTTGAAACTCTCTTTTATCGTTTTTTATAGAAAAAAAACAAGCTGTTTTTCAACCATTTAACAACAATATCTTCATTTACGGACTTCCTAGAAAATAAAATTCTTCAAGTTCATCTATCTTTGCTAAATGACAAAAACATATTGGCTATCAGAATATCAGAAAACACACACAGTATAACTGATCTTGTAATGTCGATAAAATATTACAAAAAATATTCATTAAAAGTCACATCCATAGTAATCGTAGCATAAGTCATCCTGCAATGACATCTCTTAAGTTCTAGTCTTTTTCCAAAAACGTATGAGGAAAAAATCAAATAATACACTTTACGAAATAAATCTGCTGTTTTATCGCAAAAGTTAGATGAATTCATTATTTTGCCAGTTCTCAAATTTATATTACTCGACCATCCAGTTATCAACTTTAGACAAAACGCCTTTCGTTACACCTCCTTTTATTTTAGTAGAGGGTAGTATGATTATAATAAATTAAGGCAATATCAGAGATTATCAACAATTATTTTATCAATTTAAGACCACTTCAAAACATTTATTATTCGCAAAAAGAATGCAGATAGTAATAACATACTTAGTCAACAATTATCTAATTGCTGAGCTATAATGCTTCACCACAATACTCTTTAAATAAAAAAAAAATAAAAAATAAATTATTATGTTAACTAAATATATAACCAATATATATATATATATTTTAAATACAAACACAAATCATCTAATCTTGCATTATCTCATTAAAATAACAGTTCAAAATATTTATAATCACCTCAGTAATAGGGGTGGTAAATCCAGTACTTTTGTAACTGTGTACTATTTAAATTTGTCTTCAAGTCTATACACTATGAACATGTCTTGTTTGGGGACACTCGTCTCATAAATATTATTTCACTATTCACAAAGTGACTAGTGTTAGTCTGGCATACCATTTAATATTTTATTAGTATTCAATTTATGAATCTCAATCTACTTGTTTTATTAAAATAAATATAATACTTTGATATATTTAGCAAGACCAGATTTAATACGATATTCAAGTTTTTTCAGCTTTTCAAATAAATTAACAAATTAATGAGAAAAACCTAAAAGACCTGGCGTACCAGAAATGGTGTCCAATTTTCAATTGTATGATAGTAGTTTTGTTATAGGCTATCTATATGGAAAATAATAAATATTTAACATAATAATACAATACATATAAGCCTAAAAATAACATTGTTCATCAGTAAAGCATTTGACACCATTATATACAATATACCTATATAGATGTGATAGATGACATAAAAATAGATAATACGATATCTCTAAACCCTGGAAGGATTATGCAACTTGATTATAAAATACACTGTTTTATAATAAATGCTCAGCTAATAAAAGAGACTCTGACAACACTAAATGATAGACATACATCTCAATGTTTGATTAGAAAAAAACGTTATTATTGCATAACATATTTATTTAACAAACATTACTCGTTATATGTTTAATATCACAAATATATGAGTGTACTAAAGAGTCGACCGGGGAATGTTTTTAAAGTCCATGCATTGGCTGCAATAATACTTACCTAAGAGGTGATTATTTCCGTTTACATTACGTTTACATTACATTACACTGATGAAGGATGCATTTGATTCAAATTGTGTAGTTAATTTAGTACTAATCTAGTCATTAATTATTATTAATTACTAGTTTTCGGTTATCTAGTATTTTTATAAATCTGCACAAATCGAAAAAAAATACCAATAACCTATATACGATAAATCATTGATGATATTTGGATTCACAGTCATCTGCAGTATCATACGCAGCGTTCAAGGTGTCCAGACACGCGTGGTCAAATAACAAGTGTTCGCACGCGGAAGACATTCATGCACGATAAATGACAAGACCACGCACAATATCTGCTGACGGTTAGACCCGATTTATCACCCAACAGTTGGACAACAGATTCTGTGGCGACCCACGACCACGCAGGTGAAACGAACCGGCCCACGTGACCATGACCATACGGACCAGAAACGCGGCGTCAACGATGGTCCTGACAACGACCGTCGCGTTGTGCTTCGCGGTGGCCGCCGCGGCCGCGACGGCCGACGACGCTCATGTGACCGTCTCACGTGACGACGTCCGCGTGTTGATGGACACGGTGGATACGCTGTTTGATGCCGCGGACACCTATCATGTGGCGCCCGGCGTCCGAGTCTTGAGGTCCACGGACGACGCCTCGCGGACCACGGAATCCGAATCACGCGCGGCCGACCGCGAGGACGATCCCGAGAAATATTTATTGGACCGGATTGCCCGGTACGCCGGAACACACATTTTAGACGTTAACTTTTCCCAGATGATCCAGAGCGCGGGCAGAACATTCAACTTGAATAAAGTTCTACGTAAGTAAAATACACGTAATACTAATTATAATACCATATTATCACTTGGTTTAACCGTCAAACTAGTGGCTACTAAGTCGAGATTATATTTTATTACGTACTACGGTACGATAGAATTATAATATTTGTAAAATTTGTATGATGATCAAAACAATATTATTGTTTTACTGTTTAAAATCGAACGATTTCAGTTGTTATTAAAAAATTTTGTCTATTATGAAATCGAAAACTTGATAGACGGTATTTATAGGGAACTGCGAAAACATTGATTGTACTCCGCTTTAAAACATTTTTTATGTACGAGTAAGCAATATTGATTTATTGGCACTTCAATGTATTTTGTTCTTAATAGCTTAAGATTTTGTTGATTGAAATAATTTCAATCTGAGATATTGAACATATTTGTGTAATCAAAGCAATAATATATTGCAAGTTATCTTTTTTATGTATCTGTCGATAAGAACAACTTTAAACATGATACTAAAAAACACGACTCAATATTAAATAAGTATAAATTAACCGGCATACAAGAATTCATAATAAACAAGTTCTTATAAATACTGATATTTTTTCAAAAACTGAAAATTATGTTTTGGTTTGATCCACATTACGCGAAATAGATAACTGGTACATATTATAATATAATAATACAAGAGAGAATAAAATCTTATTTTCGGCAAACCAAATTTATATAAATGTAGGTATACTGTACTAATTCAGCATAATTTTCACCTGCCATATTATAATTACATAACATCAGTTACTGAAATATGAGACGAAATTAATTGTTGATAAAACAATAACGTTATTTTTCACCGTGTGATGCCGTATACTTAAGTGAATCACAAAATAATAATTTCATAGGATTATTGGATTTATTTTCAAAGTTGAAAAAACTGACATAGAATCTAAAATGATGAATAATGATGGCTTAATTCTATAAATAACTATAGCTACATTGAAGTCTATAACTATTTATCTATAAATCAGTAATAATTTGAACATTTAAAACAATATGAGATGCTAATAATCAAATGAATCTAATGAACTATAATATATTAATATAACTCCGCTCTTTATAATGTATATATGAACATGCCAATGCAATATGACTAATTGAAAGATTTTAAAAAATTATATTTTTATAGTTCGATAATCACATAAATGTTTGTGAAAACAATTTTATAAAAATGTTTACATTGCAGCTAGATTTAATTTTGGGAAGAATTCGTTTTTAACCGGCTTTGGATTGGGATTTTTGGCGTTCGGCTTGAAAAAATTATTATTACCGGTAATCATTGGAGCTCAGATCATCAAATCCATTGCAATCGCTGCATTATTACCAACGCTATTAGGCAGTGTCGGTAAAGTAGTTTCTAAAGGTATGTATTAAATTAACAATCAAAAATAAACCCGTGACCGATAAAATATTTAATATACCTATATTTTTGATTACCCAATAAAAAAAATCAATCATAGTCAATACGTTTAAGATTACGATTGTTTAGACGTCAAATCTTATAATATTAATTTTTAATTAAATTTGATGGCTATAATCAATGTATATCTATTATAACTTCAATTATAATACTATTAAAATCTTATGAAATGAAAGAAAATTTATCTCTTTGAATTTTTACACAATTTTATTTATATCACGTACGTGGAGTGACCGAGCGAACTAAAGCGTCGGTTGTAACGCGCACCGTTACTGGTTCGAACCTCGGTCACGGGCGGTACTTCTCTCTGGGCATACAACTATCTGGAAGAGAAAGGCCGCCATCCTCCACTCTGAATCTTAGGAATGTTATAAAATTTGTTTTACATCTAGTTATATTTTTTTTATTTAAGACAAAAAATAAATCATGAGACAATACTCATCAAAAATAATTTATTATGTATTTAATAAAAATTAGTTCTTGTAAATAAAATAGTGTAACTTAAGAAAGAAATCAAAAATTGTTTTTCTAATCTTAAATTTATAATTTCAAATTTTAACGTTCTAATTTTTTTTTTTTCATTTTTAACAATATTTAGCTTTTATTTACAATAGATACAAATTATATATAAAATATATTTTTAATGTATAAATTAATTTGAGTTCACAATAAATTAGAATCACGATTTGCTAGAGACATGGCCTTTCTCATAGATTTAGATTATTAATTAAAATCTAGGTAGTTTATTTTTACATTAAATATATTTAATATTACTTCAGAACCCTCGTATTTGCAAACAGTTCTTATGTCTGCATTGTTCAACACAAAATGTTTTAGAATAAATACTTATAAATATATACTTATTCTTAATAGAAATGGGAAAAATGTCAATACAATACTACTGAACAATGTATATTGATAATTATTTTTTCAGGAGTATCGAACTTCGCATCAAGTTCATCACACTTTAGTCCTGGTGTCAGTTCCGACGGTCTGGCTGACTTCGAATTTAAAGACCAACAACAGAACGTCGGTTTAGGTTACGATGCTGTCGGCGCAGCAGATACTTCTGGTTCGGAAACGGGTTACCAGAGTATTTGGACGTACCCACCAGATAACAATGTGAATGCGATAACCTCGGGCTACAGCAGTAACAGGTAAAATATATTTGGTATATGTATCTTCGTTTTCTGTTTTGAGTTTCTTTTTGCATCTATATTTTGTTCAATGAAACATTCAACGTCCTCTTATAAGTCAGATCTTTATTTATTATTAAGCATATTTAATCTGTGTATGAGTAAATAAATATTAGTAAGTGTATCTAATTACACAACAGCAATAGCGTTATCATTATATTTTCGAACTGATTTTATAAACCACGCTTAATTTAAACTCAAAATTATTGCTTAATTGCTATAAAAATTGGAATTATAATTTTAATATGTACTACAGTGTGTGTTGGTCTCCATATTCAGGCATAACAAATGTTGTCAATCTAAATCAGTGGTTTTCAACCTTTTTCGGATCGCGACCCCTATTTTTAATTTTTTTATAATGCGAACCCTTAAAAAAAAAAAAAAATATTTTTTGTTCATCAAAATTTGATTTAATTACCGATAGTATATTTACATGATAAATAATTTTGATCAATTCACACTTAAAAATGGCACAAAATAAATAATTAACTTATCATTTCATCCATTATTTTTGGCGACCCCCAAACCTCTGATTCGTAACCCCCAGGTTGAAAACCAGTGATCTAAATGAACACACATTAAAGTTATAGTTTTGGATAATGAAATTATATACATCCCTATTTGCAAATCTGATTTATGTAACTCGTATGATTTTTTTTTTTTTGTTAGCACGATCAAGTTTTATTCAAGTTTTTATTCCATTCGCCAAAATCATATTTATGAAAATTGTCCCTTTTAGAGTGCGATGGCCATGGAAATGACCATTAGCAGACGAATTAAGTACAAAATCAGACAAGTCATCATCAAATAATTAAGACTCATAATTTTCTCTCAATTATTTCAGTTGCCTTAGGTCAACCCCTAGGTGTTTGTTAGATTTCAAGCAATAAAAATGGCCGAATTTTATTCATAACAATGACATCTGTATTTTTGTTGTGTTACCATTGACTATATAAATATTAATAATATTACTGATAGTTTTCTATAGTGTAAATGAATGATTTTTGTACATGTAAATGAAATGTAAATTTAGTATAAATGAATGATTTTAAGCTGCAAAATAGAACTTTAAATTAACATATTTTTATTATATTGTCAAGCCATTGAAATCATCACTAAATCTTCTATTACAATCTATCAAATCACGCATATAAGACTTTTATTTTGAAAATAACTTGTAGGTATGTAAAAACGAATACGATTATTTTGGAGAGTATGATTTATTTGTTATCTATGAAAAATATTTTATAAATTAATCAGATAGGTTACCTAAAACGATTTATGAACCTGATTGTAAAAAAAATCCTATTTTTTCAAGAATGGAAGACTTTATTAACCTAGAATGGAAAAAAATTTTCCCTTCAAAAACATAAAAATGTTGTAACAAAAAAGGGAGATAACACGTGCCATCGTTATAAATTTGACTATAATAGTTGTAAAGCAGAATCTGTGTCGTTACACGTTTCGTTGCACACAAATAAGACACGAAACATAAAACAAGAATCGCGTAAAACTATTTGTACCTGATTAATATAAACGGTGGGTATTAGGCGAAATCCGCTACAATGAGTACTACTATGTTTCGGTGTAATATATATATGAAACACACAATGAGAAAACGTAAGTACTGTGTTATAAACGGTTCGTTAAAACCACATGACTATTGAAGACAATGTCATGTTTAATAAACGTGTATACTATTAGAACGATCATAATATTGAATGTATGTGTTTATGTTATTGAAAATTTGAATAACTGCATTTGCTAATAATAATTACTTTAACAATACGCGTTGTATATTCAATTCAAATCGAGATTTCTAAAATATAATTGACAAAAATCTTTAAGACGACTTTCAGAATAATAAAAGTAAATTTACAATGAGCAATGTGATTACATTTTCTAAAAATAAAAAAATATATATATTAGTCAACCAGTCAAATTCAATAAGAATTCTCTACCGCTCCTTGTAAATATACCGAATTTTTTTTTTTTTATATTTATAACAGCAAGACGTAATGAGAAGAAAATGAATGCAACAATAGAAAAATCAATAACTTACTTTGGACATGGAAAATAATAGAAAGAAAATATCGAAGGAAAACGATAGAAAAATTCAATATGAAAGACGTGCACGTACATGGTCGTCTGAAGGATTGTGTTACCGTTGGCACGCGATTTTTTCGATTGTATTCTTTTGGCTGCGTTTTACAGTGATATCGCGCGCGGAACGAGACAAATAATTGTTCGTTGGAACATCACCACCAACACCTTCGTGTCCATATATTCTTCAAAAAGGACACAGAGAAGAGAGAGAAAAAGATAGAGAGAGTGAGCTCGCATGGATGAGCTGAAACATGTGCTCTCACACGCGCGTGTGTGGGAAACCAGTTTTTGGTTTCGTACGTGACCGAAGTGACCGTTGTTCATCAATTCCTATGAATCATAATAAAAGTAATAATAATAATAATAATAATAAAAAGAGAAAAACGCAAAAATAATCGGCAGAAGTAATTTTAACCTCAATACAACTCGCGTCGGACAACCTAGTTAACTTTGGTAGTCTGTTTACAAACCCGACGAAAGCAAAATCGAAATTATTACGATGAACACGTCGCGAAATGTTTTGACAGTTGCCTGCATAAGTATACAACAGGGGTCACCAACCTTTTCTAACAAATGAGCTACATTGGAAATGTTAAGTCACTGGTAATCGAAATCTAGATTTTAGGAAGAGATTTTTTTGATAAGCAAAAAAAAAAAAGATCTAATAATTGTTTATTGTATCTCTATTTTTTACTTCATTATCATAATAATCTCATATTCTAATAGTAAACAAGAAAAGTAAAGAAAACAAATATAAGTTTATTAATGTGATACCTGACATTGGTTTTTTGCTAAACCAATGTCAACATTTTTTATTACAATCAACCTATATTTCTAAAAAGATCGACTGGTTAGTACCCCCTGGAATATAGTGTAGGAACTCTTGGACAACATGCTGTACTCTCCGATGGAACTATTATATATTTCAGCAATATATTTACACATTTATAAGTATTAGAATAGTTGACTTGGTAATTGATGGGAAAAAATAACTAAATTGTTAATGTTTTTAAATATTATATATTTGCTTAGAATTCTACTTTTAGATACCTACAGAAAAATAAAATGTTAAAGTTAAACAGTTAATATATCAATTATTTAATAAAATGTGAAAATATAAGCATAGAAATCACGACTTTGAACTTATCATATGATTTATTTACATACCGTGTTAGTTATAAAAAAAGATATACATTTAAATTAGTCTACAGTAAACTTGATTTACCCGCAATTCCTTCCGAGAGTTAGAATTTCGACACGATTTTTTCATATACCATTATGGTTATCGTAGATTACAAAAATAAAATTAATTCCATTTTGTAAGTTAAAAAAGAATTGAATTATAAAAAGAAAAAATATTTGTTGTTTGAACAGTATAATGTTTCATTAATAATAAGTTATTATTAATTATTATTATTATTAATTATTATTATTAATAATAACAAAATATCGGAAAAAATCTTGGAATATCAAACTGTTTTCATAATATCGACGTACTTCCGCTAGGACCAGTTAGTGATAGTGCGTGGAGATGAACAGTCAAGGTCAACACTACACCTTCCTGTAGGATGCACTACGAGCATTTCTGAAAGAGAAATTCATTAATACCACGGAATGTGTGTCAGACGCTTGGTTTATAATTTGTGTGGGTATTATATACATATACGTTTAAACATATTTACATATATATGTGTATGTGTGTGAACGCTTACCGTGTGTGTTATACATGAGTTGACGCCGACCGCATTGTAGGCCAGATACATAAATTAAATTATGACACCACCGCAGTAACACCACTTACAGTACCTAGAAAACATAAGGAATGATTAAAACTCTTTATCGATAATGAACGATAAATCGAACAACTTACATCCAGCAATATCGACATTAGACTACCTATAGACAAATAATATGAACTTAATTGCTTGATTTTTTTCTATAACCGAAAAAATTATAATCAGAAATACAACAATGTAAAATACGCAAGAAAAAAAAAAATAATAAGACAATTGCATACTTTCTGGACGTGTAGCATAATATACCGAAATGCTGATGACATAAAAGCGAAGTTATATTCAAAGCAAGACAGTCTACTAATCTAACAGTAATTATTGTCATAATCCTTATAACAAGAGTTGCAGATTTACAAGCACTGGAGTGATATAATTTTTTTTTAGATACTAACCGATAGTCTAACATTAGGAATCGAAATCTAAAATTCTTGTTACTTTAAACATTGTTAATATTTATACTATAATATCAACAACATCGATTAAAAGGGTACGTACAGAGGGGTCATTGCTTCCCCTTGGGTTTTTTTTGAAACTGTATGTCACTTAATAACATGTGCATCATCACTAATATAAAAATATAAAATATAACTGGAGTAATAACCTGTTCAGCTGTCTATTAAGAAAAATTAAGTATTAAACTTGTACTAAAAATAATGAAATTTTGTGTGATGGTCATATGGTCATACTATGTTAGATCATATTGTACAAGGAAAATGTATTAGAAACTACTTCCATAATTTTTATTGTTAATGGAAAAATGTTAAGACTTGAATTAAACAAAAAAGACATTTTTGAAAAGGTAATACAGATTTTTTGAAGTTATGTGGTTATATTGTATTATTCTAAAAATAAAACTGACTACCAGGTACACGCTCAGAGGATAACAAAATATATTTGAATGGCTTACTTTGATTTGATCACATTTCATACATATGTATACTTAAACATTTTACTCCGCTATAGTTTATTAAATATAGCCATTTATACATTATAATGTATTAAATCTATAAATTTTGTTGTAGTTTACTTCAAATGACAATACAAATTTGATTTTCGTCGTGGGTGAAAACTCGTATTTTTGAGCTACGTGCTCACATAGCTCGCCACACAACCAACTACATATATTCGAGAACAATATAAAATCATATAGAATATGCGTGTGTTAACGTTGTACAGCATTTAACGATGACGTATTTCAATATTTGTAGGTGATAGCAGTGACGTATATAGGAGAGGAGCCTAGTGGGTTACAGCCCCCCCCACCCCCCGAAATGTTTTAAAAAACTTAAAAATTATTTTTAATATATGTTATATTTTAATGGTGCTTTATGCTTATTTTGAATTTGCGTCCAACACCAAATCGTTTTGAGACTTTCGATAAATGGAATGTAGATAAGTACCTATTGTGTCTTGTTAGTAATTTCTTAAATAGCAGTGGTAATGTAACTCTGTTCATAGTAGCCCCTCCCGAAAATATTTTCTGTATACACCACTGGGTAATAGGGCTAAATTTTATCGACCTGATATGATAATAACATATTACTTCTGTCTTCTTTTGTAATTAATCACAATTGTTGGAAATTCAAAGAAATAGTTTAAACAACTTTTACTTTTATGATAAAACACAATGTTCAATATTATTTGACCATATATTTCCTGGAACATGTATCTATCTATATATATTTTCTCAATAACCCGTGTATTAGTGACTCAGGATAAAATAAAATAAATATAATTTCGAAAATATATTATACTGGTCGAAAATTCAGAATTCATCATTGTGTTTTAGAAAGATCCATCGTATTTGAACACGACGCACATAATAGTTATTCATAATGCTAGATGAATTTAATGAGTATTTAAACTCCAGATTCACCGACCGATTGATTGAACACCATGCGTGCGCTTTAGTCCGTATATTATTATTTATTATAATATGTATTTGTGTCGAGCGCATACTACGTAATGCATATCATTAAAATTTGAAGAATTGCGTTCTTTAGCGTTCGATGAAAATATATAACAGTCGTTTCTATTTTGTGATTAAAGCATTGTAATATAATATAATATATTTTATTATAATGCTTTAATCAATGAGTATAATATTATTATACTCATAATATAATCAAAAATAATGAACAGGAATTTCAAATAAAGGTTTCTAATATGAAATCATTCAGTTAAATACATTTTAAGTTAAATAATATTTCATTAATACTGCATGTTTAAACAGTTGAAATTTGGAAGAACACTTAACTAACTCCATTTACGAACTTATCTGAAATGAACATTTATATGTTATAAATTATGAATACTTTATTCTGTCATTCTTGTATCCTACAATTTCACATGAGAGCATAATACTTTTATACGACGCAACGGTCATATTTTTAATTCGCATTTCAATTTTTAATTTTTTTCTAAATATAAATATTTGAATTTAATTTTGAATAATTTACTAACTATATATAAATGTTATACTATTTTCTGCGCTAATCCTTTTAATAATATTATTATACTTTATAGATATCCATTGAAATACGGCCAGAATTCAATATCCAGCACTAAGCTGCAATCGGGTAATTACTACACAAAAGACAAAACCGAGGACTTCAAAGTATTCCACACTATACCAGCGAGTTCACACTTATTGGCCAACTACGACCCATTCTACAGTCCTCTGTTATCCAGAATCGACACCGTGTTTAAACAACTTGGCTACACCACGGAACCGTGCCGCGAACGTTTGGTTTGTCAGATGTACAGGAATCCTGCAAAGTTTGCACCGTACAGTAATCTCATTTCAGCACAGTTGAGCAGGTTAGTAATTAAGATACAAGTGGTACGCAGTAATGCTTATAATCGTTTATTATATGACATATAATATGAATTGAAATTATCCAAAAGTACATATACAAATAGTAAATTGCACTGAAAAAAAATATAAACAGCAGGCAAATAATAATATAACTCGGTAATTTTGTAAAAAAATTAACTCTTGGTCCTATAAGTTGATATAATATGAATTAAGGTCTATATTTTTGACTCGTTTTTGTACACTCAACCATTTTATACACCAGTTTTGAGTATTAGTTTAAGCGTAAAAGTACCAAAAGTGGAATTGTTAAATACTTGGATTATTCATATCCTTAATCACCTATTTGAGTACTAGTGATCAGAGAAGGGGCTTTACCGGATCTGGCTGACCGGAAAACGATCAACCACTCTGAATTGCTCACGTTATGCTCTAGTAAAGTAAATAGTTAGTAGCATTTTACGAAACTATAAAAACAATAAAAATAAAATATATTTTAATAATAATTACCATAAGTGCCTATAAACGAGTAACATAATTTTAATTTATTAAAAATCAAAATACATTTTGTCTAAAAATAAATGTCCATTTCGTTGAGAAGACCTATGTTAGTATACAGATACTAAATATTTTTAACGCGATATTTTTACATATTTTTAATCTGTTTCTTTCATCAACTTAATACTTTTATTATCATAAAGTATAATTTTACAATATTTAGTAACAGTAGAATTAAATTTAAAATGTTCATTATACTAACGCAAGCATTCATAAACATAATAGTGATATTAAACACTTGAAAAATTTTTTGGTTGATAATTTTTAGTGTTTTGAACAATCATATGTAACGTATTAAACAAGATTTTAAGATATGTATGTTTATTTTTTTATTTTATATTTTCACTATTATTATAACTAATATTTTTTGTAGATTTTTTTCTATTGCTTTTTTCGTCCTATATTACAGCATTACAGTTTTAATTTGTATGTAAATTCATAATTTACGTTTTTACAATTATTTAAAACTTTTATTTATTTTTATCGAGAATTTAGAAGAAGTATTGTATAGAGGGAAGAGTAGCTTTGGGAAAACAGTATGGAAAGTATGGAAGGATGGAGATGGCAAAGCGACGGGAAAATGAAGAGGATGTGATGAACGTCAGAAATCGTTTCATCAGCGAATTGGAGAGGTTTATATCATGGAACCAAGGAGAGTTAAGAATAGATGGAAAGGCTGATCAGAAAAACAGGGAAAAAATTTGAAGGAAAAATGAATTAATAGTTGGCTCATACTTTTTTAAAGTTTTATAGAGGGTGGAATGAATAGAAATGGGGATTTTTAATAAATGCAGAATGATTATATTTTTGGGAGATGGCCAGCAAGTCAGCAGTCTTATTACCTAGAATGCTCACGTAATTTGGTAATCAGATGAATTCGACGATGTTATGTATCGAGAAGAGTTAGCGTAAAAGAAATTTATTCGAAAGGATGAGTGAATAAAATAAAGGGGTTAAACTGTAGAGATAATAGGCATGTTTAGGAATCAGTAACTATGAGAATGGCGTTAAAATTGATCGAAAAAAATTATTGAAGGGGGTACATGATAGAATAACTTTCGATAGTAAAAGATACTAATAGGTGGATATTAAAATTAAAATAAATATTAACTGATGGAATGAAAAATGATAAACTAGAGGAGTAGAAAGAGGCTTTTTTTAGGCTGTATTACAATATATTTGTATTTTTTATCATTGACTACAAAATCACTATATTAGCCCCTAACCAACTTATAAACCTGTTTATAAAATAGGAACTAATTGCAGGCAAAATTGATTAAAACTCATCGCGTCACCAGGATATTCAGATAATTTTATTCGATTTAGCCCAATGCACATGCACTGACCAATAGTGTATAAATGGGCGTGCGTGTATGACTTATAAATGCAGTACAATGATACTTTCACTCGGAGTTTAAAAGTGCTTTAATCATATGTATTTATTATCTTGCAGTTGGCGCTACCGCGACAATATGGGTCACGGCTAGAAACAAGCCTCTTATTAGGCTGTTAGACAAACACATTATTAAAATATTACCCAGATGAATAAGTTATATGTATTCTAAAATAAGCATGTGATATGATAAGCAGTTTTCGTCGACAATATTGTTTTCTATTCCGTTTAAAAACATGACGTGTTAAATATTATTAAACGAGTTCGTCATCGCTTACAATTATAAGAAATCACTATGGTATATTGCAAATAATCATTCGTTGGTATTTTGCATTTTTATATGACAAATACAATTAAAAATAATTATCAATCCTGGCCCTATGCGATACTTTATGATGCTGCGTGATTTTTCTCTGTCCTCTAAAGGGCATTGCAATTTAATTACAATTTGATCGTAGCAGCGGAAGTTATAATTTAATTTTAAACAGAACGACCTGCATGAACGCAACTTATAAACGTAGTCAATGTGATATCAATATTGCCAGCCCAAAATTTATAAATAATTGATGTAGCTACACTGCACAACAATAATAATATTAACGTAGAATATTCGTTTCAAAAGACATTTAGTGAAATTTTTTGAAGATCATGCCGTTAGATATTTTACTATGACACTAAGAAACTGTATTTTGTGTATAGGGGGATTATTACAGTTTCGCTTTTCTTGCAAAATGGACTAGATATGTCGAATAATATGTAACGATTCAATTAAACACTATTTATACCTACCAATATTTCAGTTTATTTCTGCATTGGAATTGAATATTGAATAGTAAATACAATAATGAAAATTAAAACTTATAAAATCTAAATCAAATAATACATATTTTTATATCAATCGTCTAAAAATAGTATCATCTGGGAATATTTTACTGGACAATATTTTTATATAAGTTCTAATTTACGATCTAGTTGACATTTGTATAAAATAAAGCGTTATTTTAATTAATTACGTTTTTGCATAATGTATAATAACTAAAAATCTATAATTAATAAATAGTTAAAAAAAACTGGGTATACGTTATAATATGTAATGAGTTCTTTAACCTCGAACTTTTATTTTTCATTGTGTATAAATGTGTGTGTGTGTGTGTGTGTGTGTATGTGTGTATGTATATAGATTTATTAGTCGTATTCAATTTTATACCATAAAATTTGTTCTTATAATATTTGACTCAACCATTAAAATGTAGTGAATATTTTCAACTGATTCTAGAATTATTTTAAACTGCATGGATGATTATAAATATAGTATATTAAACCTGCGTAGAAAAAACATATTTAAAACTAGTTTCAAGGCGATGAACATCAGAGTTCAACATGTAAATACTTACATAGTCGTACGATTTTGTCAATTTGATAAAGGAGGCTAAATGTGAAAGTTTGATAATACTTTCTTACATTCATTACATTCATTACTTAAAATTATGTCTACAGGTGTAATGAATTTGTAAAAATGTTTAATATATTTTCTCCAGTGACACTGATTAGATTGTCGTATACCTAACAAATTCACGAATATATAGTTACAAGCTCGCAATGACAATAAATGACAAGCGTAGTTTTAAAAAATATTTTTTTATTCCGATAGTACTTACTCTTTATTTTTTAACAGTGATTGTTACATTATATAAGAATGTCTTTAAAATATATAAAAAGTAAAAAGAATCACAACATTCTTGATGACAATAGCAATTATAAGTACCAATGTGAATGAACAAGTAATAGTACCTATAACTTTTTGGGTAGGTTAACGTCGTTAATAATTCCCAAGTTTGGAAAAGATGCAATTTGGTACAAGTCGATTTACTTAACAAAAACACGAATGTAAAATAATGATAAAACTGTTTTTCTTTCATGCTCAATCTTATAAAATACGACACTATTGATATATTTTTCCTAATATTTCATATAAAATAACAAATATATCCTCGAAAGGTAAAACACAATGTGCTGCTGGAAAACAGTCTTTTTTTTTTTAAATGTATAGTAATAAATGACAGAAGTAAATAGTTGTCAAAAGTATATGGCTGTGTAATTTTGAAATTAGACTTCGAAACGATTTATTGCTGGTGTTGAGTTTTATAATAAAATGTTAAATCAAAAATTTACAAGAAAAAAAACGATAGTACCAGTGCACAACCATGTGTGAATAGTACCGATAGTTAACCTAAAATTGAATCGAAATCATTATGAAACATTATTAACGGCGTATTATGATTTTCAGTATCTAATTATTATATTTAGTATAAATCTAAAAAAATGTCACTTGCTTAAAGAATTGACATAAAATAACTATAATGTTTGGTTTCAGAGAACTGAATGAACTGCGCAAGCCATCTTCAGAAAACCCGGAGATATTACGATTTTTCAAGTACATGAAAGCTGCTAAGGATGGCCAAGACAATCAGGAGTGTGAGTTGATATTTTCTTCATGTGTGTCGCAAAGGTCTCCGGATGACTCAGTGCCTATGATGACAACATACAATGAAATAAACAAACTGGTGCAGGCTAGAAACGCGAAGAAACTTGAAGAATCGTCGGTATCGTCCACCGCTGCAGCAGCCATTAGTGCCATAAACGAAAGTGAACAGACATCGGTACCTACATTGAAGTAAGTGTTGTCGGAGTTTGTCGATCGAAGTTGGGGATTGGCCAAACCCTAGAACGATGGACGATATATTATCATACACATATAATTCTTCAAAATTTCAAATATATTTCAATTTCATTTTTCAATATCTAAATCACAATATAGGAGTTAACTTTGACAAAAAGCTAAACCAACCAAACAAACAAACAAACTAAACAAACAAAATTTAACTCCCATATCCGTACCCTCAACATTTTTTTTTTAAATTATAACAAAAAAACAAATAACAAAAACAAACATCACAGTGCCACCAGTGGGCGGCTTCTTCGCCCAAATCTACATGTCATTGTAATACTTAATCATCACTTATGTGTATTAATAAACTTAATTATCACCAAATTCTATAAATTGTAAAAATAAATAATAATAAAAGTACAGTTCAATTAATTATTAAAGGGTATTAGTTTAAATCTTCGAATTATTAAAATATAGTCGCCTTTAGTCTTTAAAAATGTTAAAATTATTTTTTCAAATACCAGTGACACTTTCTCAGTTCTACGCTCCCAAATAATTATACTCTGTGTCTTATAGATCACCTAAACGAAAATATATATGTTTAACGTATATACAACGTAAACAGCATGAATTCAAAACTATGTGAGTTTATAAATGAAAGAAGAATTTGAAAAAAATATAAAATTATTTACATTTAAAACGTATTTAAGCTGTTGACTCTTCATAAAATATATTAAAATTTCTCCGTTTTCTCTTGGTTTATACTATCCTTATGTTCATGGTTCAAATACTAAATTTAATTTTTATATACTTAAGTCAATTTTTTAAATGTACTAAGATTTATATTTATTTCATTTTTAATTTTAGGTGAAGAGACAAAAATATTAAAATGAGGTACGGCGTTTTTTTCGATCCAGACAATACGACGTGCAGCATTCAAGTCATTAGAAATTATATTACAATACCTCGACTAGCTCAATTTAGTTTTTAGTTGTAAATGCGTTTTAGCTAGTTGCCTACATACACACACATACACACACACACACACACAAACACAAATACACAGTACAAATACATATACACACTTTTTATAAATACGTAGAATAGATTATTTATTTATTGTCAATTATCATTATAATACTTATATAAGTACCTACTTATAATACCTATGTAATATAAATCCATATGGATGGTAAACATAACATTTCGATAATTTGTCATCAGTCGTTTTCAGTTACTTTTCGCGTTTTTTTTTTTTTCTTTTTCAATCAATTGAGGAGAGGGACTTATTTTTTAAACGTTAAATTACTGACAAATTCATCGAATTTTATGTTTTTAATAGTTATCGGTGTTTTCATATTTTTAAACAGGGTCGGTATCGAAATTACCTAGAGCTTAGTCGATGTCATGTGACACACGAGCGTTAGAAATATTACAACTGCGGTTAGTATTTCAAAGCTCTATACTATTGAAACATCTATTACTTACATATTTATATTTATTTATTTACATATTTATTTATTTATTTATTTATTTATTTATTTATTTATTCGTTATTCAATTTCGAATTGCTCAAATTGAAACTCATTCGAAGAATATTGTTTTTAAAACGGTTTCAAATATTTCCTTACAAACCGATATATGTTACATATCGTATGTAAATATACGAATACATGTTGAATGAGAATATACCTAACTTCGAACTCGTACTTCTTCGTAGTAAAAGGTATCAATATTATAATTATTATTATTACCGACCGTTATTGTAAAATTGTAAAAATAATACTTAATATATGATAAATGTTACGGAAATATTTCTTGACATTTTACACATACTACAAAGAGGAACACTTCGCTTATTTTCGTTTTATGCAAGTATATAATGTAAGAAATTAATAGCCTAGAAATGTATTTTAAACTCTAGACGAGGAAGAAAAACTAGAAATAAAACAATAAATTGTAAATAAAAGGGAGAATGTACAATATTTAAAAAATATAATTTTATAAAACATCTTAAAGGTCTCAAATTTAGGCCAAATAGATTTGATCAATAAATGTCCAATATATACACGCTGTTAGATATTATAATATGGGTTTATTTTCAATACATTTTATTCATACACAGATACATCAGTCATATTATGTATCGTAATATTTATTAGATTTGATTACATATTTTTGTTCTTTAATACTGATTTGTCTAACTAATTATTTTTGGCATTTCCTTGGTCCATTTTCCTTGTGTAATTTGCAATAACGTAGTTGAAAATCATATCACTGAGTTAGGTTATACATGATTGATTTTCAAAAAAAAAAATGCCCAAAAACCAAGAGTATTCTTGATAGGGTGGGAGTTTGTGGAGGTGCCCCGCAAACATTTAAATAAGGTTTTTTATTTTATCGAATAATTATTAAAAAATATTTTATTGTTGTTGAAATAATTCTAACATTCAAATTATTTACCTTAGTATAAAAAAATAATACATGGGGGGAAATAAACATACAATGTAGATAAAAATAGTTCAATTTACGAAATAATAAATAAAAAAAATAATACGAATTTTCGTCAACAAATTACTATAATATTATTACTTATTATGTATTATTGTTATTGTTTTTATTTATATTTTTATCATTGTAGTCAATATTTTGTAATTAATTTGTGCATTAATCAAACGTAGAGAATAATATAATCATGTTCTAAAAGTATAATCGAAATTATATCGTTATTTATCCTTGTGCCTTAATTCACTTCAATATTGTTGTTAACTTTTCATACAACGAATATTTATTTATAATTGAGTATCTGTAATCCCAACCGAATGTAAAAAAAAAATCGTTTTAAAACATAAACAGAGGTATTGAATAACTTTTTGTTTTATTTAGTTGTTTAAGTACGCTGAATAAAATAACAAAATATTAAAATTCGTAGTATAATTCTTTTGATTGAAATAATAACTTTTTCCAAAATACAAGCTGACAAATATAAACAAACTATTAGATCACAATAATACACAAATAGTTAACATTTGCATGACAATAGAAATTGCGATGTTCGTGAGTTTCTTAAGTTTCAAAATATATTTCCATTATATTGCATACAAGTAATGAATTCCAGGATTATAAAATAGTATTAAAAATACTAATCCGGAGCAAAATCAAAAATTAAAACTGGAATATTCGGATTTGGAGAATACTTAATCACAGAGCTGTAATATAATCATCAATGAATGAAAATTACTAAACATCAATCATAACCAGTTTATGATTACCATTAAGCAAGTGACAATGATCAAATAATGCATATAACCAAGGTGAGTTATTGGTATGTGAATGTTGGATGTATGCCAGCAAAATGAAAGCTGATTAATATTTAGCATGCAATGAAGTTTCTTCTTAACAATTGATATAATGCTAAACTATTTCTCTAGTGGAAACAATGTCTAACGTTCCATACATATCCACAAATGAAGTGATAATATGCATCAAAACCAATTAGAAATATAATTATGTCTGCGAAAAGACACATTCCAATTGTCAATCAGAAACATAATTATAACTAGTCAAGTCATTTATACCTAATATTTATAGGTAAAAATTCAAATGGCATAACTTGATTTTACCATTATTTGTATTGTTATTGCAGACAGTAGGATAGTTGACAAAATCACATCAAAAGTACACAATATTTTATTGATTATCAAAAGATTAGATAAATCAATATATTACACCAAATTGTTAAAAAAAAAAGTACAGATTAATTTGAAGGTATAACAATATATTGTTGTACAATTATAATCAATGGTATTATTAAATTAAACATAATTTGTATAAGCTAAAATTTGATTCAGTAATATGGAAACTAAAATGTTTGTATAACTAAATTATTTTATTTATTAAGAAGTACACATTTTAAAATATATTAACTTAAATATGGACTAATATATGGTTATAATGGTGATGTTTATAGTCTGTCTTAATGAAATTATTGTGATCAATGATTTTTAATACTCAATTAACATACAATATGAAATGACACATTTTTTAATTACTGAATAAAATGTTCTACAAATAAGTTGATTTAAATTTAAAATTTAAATGCTGCTTAACAATATATCGATAACATACATATTTGTAAAGTATATTACAACATAGGGTTGTTCTCTAAATAGTTTACTTAATTCCTATATTGGATAAACTCTCTGCTACATGTGTACTGTCCACCGATGGTTGCAAAGATCCATTGTTACCAGCTTCCCTATTACATTCTTTTTTGTGAACAAACCAATGAATGCGTTGACATTCACGATTACAATATTGTACGGCTTTGCACTTAGCACATTTTTTGGTAGCATTATTTTCAGCACACGTAGCACAGACACGTTCTTCACCAAATGAATCTACACCCATACCATGTCTATTTCCAATCATCACTAATATAACATTGAGAGCTGACATGCTATCTTTACCTCGTGTCAGACTGGCTACTATCTAAAATTAAACATTAATAATATTTAGAACAAAAAATAATGGGTTATAGTAATGTATTTCCATAGCTTAAAGTTTTTACCGCAAAAATAATTATATAGACCCGAGAGGAGTATGAAATCAATAAAAATTTTTATTTTAAAAAAATACCTTTTGCAATTTAAATCTTTTTGGTACATTACTTGTTGCTTTATTTAAGGTGAACTAACAAAACAAGTACTTGAATGAACTAAGCAAAAGTATACTTGTTTTAATACCTTGTGAATCATATTTGTTATTTAATATATTTTAGAACAAATAATTTATAATATGGGTACATCAAATATTGTAAAGGCTTAATAGTATATCTTTTCATCAAACTACGATCAATCTTATTTGATATTGTACTACAAAGTTAAAGTGCATAATCGTAGCTTATAAATTTACCTTTATTACTAGAAATCAATTTTTAAAATAATTAAATAAAATAAAAGATATAACAATAGAAAATTATTATACCTGTCTAAAAATTGTACAATCTCTGTAAGGGAACATTCTAATGGAATCCATAAGAAACTGTTCTAAGTAATTTTCATTTTTCAATATTTTCTTAATGAAAAATTCTTTAGGATCTGATTGTTTTTCATTTTTCACGTTGCTATAAATAATGAAATTAAAATACATAAATTTGATGTTTTATTACATATTAAAATTATGACTTACTGGTGTTTAGCAATTTCAATTAGAATGCTAGCTAAATAATGAAATTTAAAGGCCATCACTTCATTAGATTCCATTTGTTTTTTTATTTCACGTGCCGACATCAAATTTAACACTTTATAAATTGTTGACGCATTGTCGTCCACCAGAAAAACGGGAGGTATTTCCAGTGCAACTTTTACCGGATGGATGTTGGTCTAACAAAATTATTAAAGATTATTTGAATACAAATAACATATATAATTATTTGTCTTGATTATTATATATTGATATTATTAATAAATACCATCATAATGAATTTATGAACAGGTTTAGCCAATGCTAAAGGTAACTGTGGTTCACCATTAATAGTTTCTGATAATGTATAACACATAACTTCTTCTTCGGGTACATAATTACTAATGACTGCCACACAGTTGTGATTACCTTAGGAACATGACATAATTATAAACACATGCAGGACAAAATAGTAAAATATAATGATTATTACTGTACATAATTTACAAACCGACAAAGGCTCCCATTTGAGATGCGTTACGACCTACAGTGTTGGTCAGCTCGCTTTTGGCACCGGCAGCTAGCAGTAAGCTGCACACAGCAGGATTGCCACTCAGGGCGGCGAAATGCAATGCGGTGTACTTGTACTTGTGCTTTCCAGAATTGACGTCGGCGCCCTAGGGTGAAAAAATAATGACAACCCAATCGACCTACATAGCCCATCTCCCACGACTAGAGCGATGTACCAGCTACCAGCGCTACTTACCCGGTCCAACAACCAACGGACGATTTGCTCATTGCCCTTGTACGCGGCGTGCTGTAACGGCGTCATGCCATGCTCGTCCAGTATGTCCGTACCAAGGTTATGGTTGGCGTAGATCTTCTGCAGCCGATCAAAGTCGTTGACGAATATCGCTTTGAAAACTTCGTCCACCCCTTCCGATTGGATGCTTTTCGTCATTTCGCCGGCACGGTGCGTACTACTTGGGTGTTTCACGAAGACAATGGTCACAGCACGATGGACGGCCGCAGAAAACGTCTATAGAAATCGCAGAAGGACGAACGGTAATACGGCAACAGGCACCACTACTGACAGTGCGGGAACGGAAGTCACGGAGAAGACGTAACTGGTGTGTCGGAAATTATGTAAACAAATCAGGTACCGATCGATCGCGATGTGATAACGACGTACGGTACGGTGTGCCGGAGCTGCTATTATCGTCTCGAATTGACCGTGCGCGCGTTCTTGCGGTCCGCGACGGTTACAACTATCGGATTACGCGTTTACCGTGGCCGTGCGCGATCGTGATAATCTACACATGGGATTAGTGGCACTGATTTAGTGCACGGTCCAAGAAGATTTCCGTGCACCAGTCGCGAAAGCTGGGGTGGTGTTAGGGGGTTTACCTCCAAAAATGTCAAAAAGAAAATGTTTTATTTATAAAATATTATCGATACAAATATATGTTATTATCTAACCATTACATTTGTGGGTCAGGTTATTTTATTTTTTTTTTTATAATGGAAAACAATTTTACAAAAGAACTGACCAACAAATTTAATAGTTATTTCAAAGTTTCCCGAGAGACCTGCGAAATGAATAATTACGTATACTATGTAACAAATAGGTAAGAAAGCATGCGATTCATCAAAATTTTACACTTTTTCAAATCCTCACCCCCCTTAAACCGAAATGTTTTCTTGCGTTTGCTCCTGTCGTGCATACCGTCGTGCGCGAGTTGACGTCTTGAAATCGCGCAGCACGTCAGCCGTTCTGTGAAATGGCTCGTAATACTAGTAATAGATTGTTTTTTTTAAGTCCAGGTCGTTTAGTAAAATATTTTTGTCAACCGAATCGCCTTCGGCCGTTTCGTTTGATTGTTTCTCAATTGAATGGCGGCCCTCCTCTCAGCTGTCCACCGTTCTACTCGACCTTGAACGTTTAAGCCCATGCGGCAAACAAGCGCGCATCGAACGCACAAACGTTTTTGTATTACCGAAGCGTTTTTTTTATACTACACTCGTCCGGTCATCGTTGTTTATTCGTTCTTGCAGTAGAATCCACATGGGAGACCATCAAGTCTTAAAAATAACGGTCGAGAAATTATAGGCTTCCGATGGTGGAATAAAGAAAAATAAAAGAATAACGGAGTACAGATAAATGAAGTATAATATAGTTCATTCTATAGTTATTGTCTGTGTCTAATAATTACACCGTAATTTTCGATGTTTTAAATAGTAGTATAAAACTACTTACGTTAACACCAAAAAGTAGGCGCAAGGTATAGTTTTAATTTAATTTAAATTGCCGAGTACGTTCCATAATTATGTGGAAAATAATTTTCTAATTATACAGTTTAAAGCTTCCAATATTCATGCTTTTTATGTGTAATACTTAATTTGCAAAAAAATTTCTTATTTTTAACAAGGGATTAATAAGTATATGCATAAATATAAATTCATAGAAATTAAAAATGTATTTAATACACATTTTAAATGAGTACACGTAAATACAGAATATACTAATATAGATTTCACCTAATTTTAAATAAATTATTCATAATATGTAAAATTATATACGTTAAGTATTTAATACAATTTTTACAATCTTAATGAAAACAAATTTTAAATGGTTCTACTCAATTTTTTTGTTTTAGTACAAACATAATTATATATTATAATATTTATTATAGATACTGTACATCAGCGTTTCCCAACATAAGGGGCACAAAATATTTTTGATGGGTTGCTGTTCGTAAACTAATAATGAGAAAAATATCTACTAATCAAATTATAATTATTTTTATCGGAATAAAGTTTAGTAGCATCGCACTAGTAAATGATAAAATTCCTTATAATAAATGTAATAGTAATATTATTATATTAAAGCATACTAGCTTTTTGGAGGTTCGTTTAATAAATATAAAAGACATTTATAGGTGACCTTAGCATAAAGATTGGAAAACACTGCTGTACATTAAATATTATATAAAAAAAAAATCAAAACCTAATCAACAATGATCTAAAAGTATTTACATTTTGATAGTATTCAAAAATTATTATCAAGTATCGGTATACTAAAAATAAAAATACTATCAATTTAACGGACTTTAATTAATTTAACGAAAAACTATACATAAAAGTTTTTTTATGAAACCTCAAAATTTGTATTCAAGATATTTATTAGTTATTTTGAATATAACAATGTTTATTTTACCAATTACTTTAAGTTAATAATTTTGTAATTACAAAATAATATGAGTACTTTGGAGCTTTAAAAAATATAGCAAATTAAAGTTTTAGAAATTAAACGATCCAAAAAGATCTTTGACAAAAAAAAGATAAAAATATGTTTAAGGTATATTTATTATCTATAATTGTATTTTATTATTTTTATTATAATTATTATTATATTAGTTATTGTATTACATCATAGTTAAATATATTACATATTAATTAGTATTTGCTTGCATTTTGTACAGTATAAACAACATTTTTAGATAAAAAAAATTGTATTTCTTTATAACAAATTTTTTTAAATAACCTTCATGTTCTTTATGTAAAGGTTTGAATGTATATTCTAAATTATATATTTCTAAATGTAAAACCACAAAAGTTATTAGAAATTCAAATCATTGATACTATCAATACATAAAGTTTATAAATTAGCTACTATTAAAGTAGTAATACAACTAAAAACAAGTATAATGAAATTCTAAGATCGTTATTATTTTTTTTACTATTTAGTATCTTGGGTAATGTAGAAAATTATTGAGACATAAATTTAACATACAAGGAACGCACGAGAAAAATTTGGTTTTATACTTGAATAGTAAACATACTTTAACCATTGTTAATATTATTTTGTACAAATTTACATTAAACAATTAATTATTAGCTGAATTCTAATAAATATATTAAGAATATTACATAGATAATATTTATTATATCTTATATTTTAAAGGCTTGTTCAAATGATAATTGAATTAAGAACTTTAAAAAAATATAATATATTTAAAAAGTGTTTTAATAATAATATTTTATTTTAAATTAATAACTATAAATTTTTAATGTGTAATTATGACATAAACATTGAAGTCCGTAACTCTTAATATACTTTAAAATTCTAAGTGTCAAACGCTAAATTGCATTTAGGCTATAATTTTATTGACAAAATGTATTATATATAAATAAATAAAGAAAATTTTTAATAAACTAAAAAAAAATACAAACAAAATATTTAAGTTCTGCAAAACAAATTTTAGTTTCTTGATTGTTGTTATGAAACACGTTTAGATATAATTGTTTTGCCACTCTGCAATAAATAAAACATTTATTATTAATTAACAATTATTTGTTATCATAAATTGTATATTATAATCAAGAAATTATATTCAAACATTAAAATCTAAACATTACAATATGCTTAATCATCAATTTTCATTACAACTTCAAATACAGAGGTGGATTTAATAAAGAGAGTCGACATAGCGATCGCCTCCTCCTTGGGCTTTTTTTTATCACAGATGTATTTCATATTTTTAATATAGGTATACAGTCATACAGATATACATAATAAATATTTATAAACATTTACTATTGAAAAATATCTATATTTTTGTACAAAAAGCTTGTTTCATGATAATATATAATAGTATAAGTAACATATAATGTGTAATATAATAATAGTAATAGTATTCCTATTCGCCTATTCTCTTAAACAAGCTTCAGATCCGCCCCTGTTCAAATAAATGTTAAAAATGGCTTAATGTTGAACAAAGCTATCTCAAAAACAAATATAAGTACAAAAGATTTTAGATTTTAAAATTGTATTTTATTTCTATAACAAACTTGAAAATTGTTAAATAGTATGACCAAAATTAAAATATAATTTAAAAAAAGTTGGTCAATACAAATTTTTTTTTTTATATTTTTTTTTTTTTTTTTTATTAAATAGTTGTTATGCCATACCATTGAAGTATAATACTTGATTAAAATAATACTACCTTATAGTAATGATGAGATCAAGGTAAATTACTACTTTCAGTTTGACTTTCCCTGCATTTTTCAATTTTTTATTTTTTTAAATTAAAAGTTTAGCCCAAGGCATTTTATTTTTTCACAATGTGATTCAAACCATATAAAAAGATACACACACACATATATATGTGTGTGTGTGAATGTGTATTTTATTGTATATACTACTCACTTCAAACTCTGCATCACTTGTCATTATTCCTCTGACTGTAACTAGTTGATATTCCTTTGATTTGAACGTGTGGATAGACTTTCTTATATGGGACATAGTTATCATTCCACCTTCTGTTCTTAATTTATCATAGTGACCACTAGGGTCTAATACTAAAAGCAAAATTGTTCCATCAGACAATTTTTCAACGCCCACTACTGTCCGACTGTGACCTAAACAACAACCACAAACAAAATGTAATACTATTTATTTATTTAAAAATTGTGTATTATGAATTTTATGATTATTAATATTATTGAAAACAAATTTAAGCAAATTTACCATCATGTTGTATATAAACTGGAGGAATAAACTGTTTTTTTCTATTGCTGAAATGTTCATACAACCAGTGAAACATTTCTGGATGGGTATTTTTTGAACCAGTTGGTTTGTGAAAATCTAAAATGAGTGTTCTAAAACAAAAATAAACAAAATTAATAATTCAGTTTTTTTTTTTTTTTTAATTAATAAATAAATACAAAAAATGAATTTATTACCAAAGGGAAAAATTAAATAACTCTTATTTGTATTATAGATCTTTTATTTGTTTAAATAAATACATAAATATAAATCACATACTTAATTTTTAAAGCAGTTAGCATAGCAACAACTTCAGTAGCTCCAATCCATTTTTTAGTATTGTACACCGAACCACCTAATTGTTCTCTACCAGGTTCATCAATACCCATGCTCCATGATTTCTCCAAATGTTGTTGTAATCTTGATATAGATGGCATCCAAGCACGTGGTAAAGGTCCTTTCTCCACTTCCCATACTCTTGATATATGTTCATTATAATCCATTTGTAAAAGCATACTGGACATCAACATTTGCATATTTCTATATCCACATCCCCAACCTTTATCACCATAAGTTGATCTATAATGATCAGTAGGTGAAGCCAAATGTACTTCAATTACATTGGGTGATGTTGCACTGAAGTGACGAATATACTCAATTAAATCTGAAACAATTAGACTATTGATTAAACATCACAAAATTTACTGGGAAAATGTTTTAGAATTTTATTTTAATACATTAGTCCCTCTAGATCCATGTCTAGTACCTATCATATAATTTACTGGTAATGAACCCAAAATATGTATATAACAAAGATAATATTATATTTTATGTAAATAAATTTATTTTCATATAAAACTCAAGAATACATATATTAAATTACTTAAAAAATTAATTTAATTTTTTTTTTTTTTTATATATTACTTTAATAATTTTGAGTATACTTCATTCAATATTATTTATATTTTCTATTAAATAATCAGTCCAAATAAACTTAATAATAAAAAATTTACCTCTAGTAGCCGATTCACCAGTATCAAGTCCTTTACTTTCAGCCATTTTTATTTCATATATTTTTTCATAATAATCATAAACAGATAATTGACCACTGGATACAGCTTCTTGCAAATTAGTCATAGTTTGTTGATTATAATTGCCTTTATTATCCATACCATAAGCGGCTTGCAACTTTTGAAAATCTTCTTGTTCTTTTTGTTTCATACGTTCACGTTCTTGTTTTTCTAGCTGTTTTGCAAGTAACTGATCATGATTAGGTAAATGATCTTGAGTAGGTGGTGTAGTACCTAAAATAAAACAAAATATTTTTTATAATTAAGTGGTAAAATGAATATACAAAGAGATACTTATTAGATTTTTATTAATAAAAAAAGAGAAGGCATATGAATAATGAAGTTTTCTGTGGTGGTTCAAGTATTAGGTCAGCACATTTTTTAGTATTTTCAACAAATAACGACATACATAGTGCCTTCTCATATCAAATTGAATCTATCAGTTGAGGCAACTACCTAATGAATTGACATGTATATGGGTGATGAGAGAGCGTCATACTAATTAAGCAGTAAGCCGATATTTCACTGACTGTTTAGTTTGAAAAAATCATTTAGCCAAACAACTTATGAATCAACCGATACCAAATTGTTATATTGTGCGTTCTTACATAAATCTTCGTATTAATTTAAAAACTAACTGAACTATTGACTAATTATGTCAATAGTTTGCAAACTCTTTTATAATTAAAAATGCAGTAATAAATTAGTACGCCGAAAAAACATCAGTCTGTTAAGCGTTTACACAGTTTTGCTCCAAAAATGAGTTCAATACATTATTGTAGTAGGGTTATAATGGTGGATAGATGAGAGAACCTTGTCAGTTCAACAACAATCTGCAGACCTTGTGTGACTATTATACCATCCAATAAAAAACACGCCTTCAATGCTGTAAGTAATTCATTGACTTCCTTTTTTCATGTGTTAATTTAAATTTTGATAAATACAATGCTGATATCATATTTGAGGAGATTTAACTCCCTCCATCCATGAAAGGTACTGTCAAATTACTCGAACCCATCCCTTGTCTACTGACATAATATTTGAATGTTCCTCTACAAAATGCTATTTCCAGAAAATTATTATAAGCACAAATTTTGCTACTACGTGAAACATTTATTAATTAGTTTAGAATTTAAATTACTTTAATTAATTATTTATACAATAAATTCATAATATGTGTAAAAATTAAAGACTCACTATTACATATGACTAAAATTTTTTGCAGAAAATCTATTTTAAATAATATTGATCAAAATAAGTTAAATCATACTTCAAGATATATTTACATATTTTGTCAGGGAAACATAATTTTTACCAATTTTATTTAGAATAAAGTTATTACATATTTAATTAATTCAAGTTAATATTATTACCTAAAAATATATTTTGTTAATTTTCAACATAGTATAGAGTTATGCAAATTAGTATCTTTATTAGCACTTACAAATAATACATATTTACCATAGGATATTTTAATATTTTGAATATTAAAATAATAATAATAATAATTTAATATTTTATATTATATTTTAATATTTCATTTTGAAGTTATAAAAATATGATTAAATAAAAAAAGAAATACTTATTGTTGCATGTTAAGTATTCATGTATAACATACATAGTATGTTTATACTAATATTAATTTTAAGTATTGTAAAAGTACTTACATAAAAAATATTTGGATGGGGTGTTAAGGTTTTACATTTTCATACTTATATAGTCTATAAACGACTTTTACTCTATAAAAAACTATTTTATAATTTTCTTGGATTTCGGGGGCAGAGGCAAGGGGTTAAACTTCTAAATTCCCTCTTTGTTTACACACCTGGTGTTGTATTACAATTGGTGGAAAACATTGTACTAAATACAATTGTAATCAACAATCATAATGATTTATACTGTACTATAAAATACTAAATATGTATTATTCATAATTATAGTATCATGGTTATAAAAACTTAATTATTATATTTATAATTAATGATAATACTTAACAACTATTTTCATTCATAAAATAATAAATATATCTTATTTCAAAATGAATAGGTTATAAAAAAAAAATGGTTTAAAACAAATCTGATTTCTTAAGTACTAGGCAAAATGATAAATATTAATTAGCTATACATTAAATTTCAGGCCATAGAACATACAAAAACTTATTTTACCAAAGAATATATGAAATATAAATATATGATTGAAAATTTTAACTCTAGTAAAATTAATAATATATATATATATATATATATATATATATATATATCTGTTAATTCAGAAAAAAAAGGTTTAAAAATAACAGTAGATCAAACATTGTAAGACCAAATAATCTTTGATTTTAAATTGAATTACTAATTTCCAAACCCATAGTTTAAGATATAATTATAAAATTTTAAAAATGTATTTTTTTAGTAGATCAGTTTATTTTCATAATTTTTTTAAATCAAATATAAATTACTTTATATTTTTCCATCATCAAGCCAGATAATTTCACCATAGTATTTCATTTTATACATAAAAATAATTAAATCAAAAATAATTTTTAAAGTTTTTTTTTTTTAATATTTCATCAATTAATAGATAAAAATAAATTAATAAATTAGAATACAATATCCTGAAAAAATGGTTACATTTTATAAAATAATATTAATTATACAAAAAAACCATTTATACTGTAAATAAATCAATGAAATATTGAATAATCTTATTAAGTTTTGATTTTATAAATAACACTATAGTAATATTCTATTGATTTTTATGAATCCAAAGTTTGGCTGGAATAATTTAATTATTATAAAATTATAACTATTTAAAGTAATCATCTTATAGATATTAATAATAATATTTATATAATATTTAATAATATTAATATTTATATATGTTAAATAATTATATAAATAAAGATGAATAAGAAGAAAATTAGATAGGTTAGAAAAACATAAATACAACATAGGTAATTACCTCGATAATGTTGTTCAATATGTGCATCCAGATCTCTTAAACTATCAAAATTTTTCATACCACATATCACACAACCTTCATTAATATTTTCCAACAATGGTATCCTTTGACTAAGAGAATCCTGGACAAAAAAAAAATAATAATAATAATTATAATCTTCAGGTAAAATAATAACACAGTATTACTATTATTACCGATTGTGGGCTAACTATGTCGTGATGTTCTTCATTAATATGAGTTTCGAGATTATCACAATGGTCGAAAGCCAACGGGCATATTGGGCAAGGGAAGTCTACAGTACCGGGTCGCCGAGGACTGCCAGGGTCGAAATGCATACGATTAACGTGCTGTTGCAGACGATCTGTGTCCAAGTCAACGTAATCACAGAGCGGACACCTAACGTCGGAGTCGGCGTCGAGTTTCCGTCGCTTCGACGAAGAACCAACACTAGGCGACGGGCTCGTAGACGAGTGTACATGTCGTTGTGTTATGTGATTCGACAATTTGTTCTCCGTCAAAAACGATTCACCACATATTTCACACACCGTTTTCGATCTTAACGACATGATTACGTAACTTTACAAAATGCGCAAAAAATCGGTCACACGAAACAAGAGTACACGGGAAAAAAATTGGGAGTATTCAAACAAAACAAAACATAGGCCTGTAACATAAATTTAGATTACTTTTATTCTCCATAAATTACAATTCGATTATCAATATTGCAAGACAAGATAACAATAGTCAGGGTTAGCCAACGTTGACGAAATGAGAAGTGTTCCACGGCGGCGTTCAAACTAAACCAATCGTGGAAATCCAGAAATATTTCCGGTCCAGACGAGTTTTACGGATATTCGGTAAATGATTTGTCGGGGTTATTAATAAATTTTTAATCGTCGTCACGGAGTTACGCGAGATACATGTTGGCGTTAACTACGCAACTGATGGCAACACTAACCTTCTGATAATAAAACATATGATTCGCCTGTTGTTGACGTTTCCTTTTTTTTTCGTCATAACAAAAAAATCAAATCAAATCTCTTGATAAATGTTGAACAATAGAACGTACTCCGCGTGAAATGTGACTATAGTGAAATTGTATTTACTTACAGCCCGTGTCCGCGGTGTACTTTCATTGATATCTTAAAATCGATTACATTGCACCTTAACTAACGACGTACAGGTAATACAACCAATAACACACTTTGCTCGTAACCTATAAATTGTCTATTGTATATTTCATCGACGAATTTTTAATTTGAAATAAAACAAACAAATGGCGGACGAGCTCATCAACTACAAACTGCAGCTGCAGCAGGTAACTTTAATCATATTTATTAATCAATAATATTACAATAACTAATGTGTTATATCAAATAATCCTTGAAATTTGCATACAAAAACACTGGATGTTATGAACCATATTTTGTTATCAAGATTATGTAGAAACAAAATTTTATATTTTTCATATATATAATATTTTCCGTAAAATTCAACTATATGTAGATAGGACACAGATAAGGAATAATATGATGTTTCTATGAAACATTAAGCTATAAGTATAAATAGGTATTAGTGCAGCTAAGTTTAAATTTCCAAATTTTTTTTGACCTATCAACATATTTTATCCCAGGAAAACTTAACAAAGTTAAAATGGTTAAATTGTAGTTTTAATATTGTTATAAATTGTTTTTAAATTTAATAAACGACATATCCTAAGAATTATAGTTGTAAAAACTTATTTCAAGTTGAAATAGTATGTTTATAATACTTTTAATGCTTTCTTTTGGAAATCAAATAATTATACCATATTTGATAATAAATTTACCAAAATTAATATAAAATGCCTTTTAATTATTAAAAGTTGCTCATATGCTTACTATGAATATAATACAGGGATGGCAAACCTCCTGTGTCACAGAATGACACGCTTATACAATTTCAATGACATATCAATTTAAATATAATTCATTAGTTTTTCTTTACTTTCTCCTAAATTTTAACAAAAATTTTTTTATTATATTCTGTATTTCTATTTTGTTATTTTAGTGATTTGATACCATAGTAATTTTATTACGGAAGCTTTGGATTTATGATTTGCATCCATCACTCAAATTTACTCATTAATAACTATTATTATTCATTTTTTTAATTTAATTATAATTTAAGTTATATTTAAGTATGTATTAAAATACATTTTTTAAGTAAAAAAAAAGATCAATAACATTTACCCACAGGGCTAATAAAATCAAACCAAAATTGTTTCTTTGACATACAGATATTAAAAGTTTTGTCATCCCTGGTATAATACATTATAATATGTCAAAATTAATTAATTATATTTCCAGAAATCTTATGATTTATGTCAATTGAATGCACATGACTTAAAATGTATTGTTTATTTTACAATCATAGTTTTCAATAAAGTTGGTTTTCATTTTTATTTTAATGATAAAACAATTAATTATTACCTAATTTACTATTTAAAGAAAAATATCAAATAACCTATTTTTGTTTATTTTTAAGATAAAATAAAGTATACCTTAATTCAACTTATGCAATTTTTAAATCTTTCACCTGACACTTCTTTTTAAAAATAATAGATTTAGAATTGGGAAACATTGTTTGCACTATTTGTATATTATGTCAACTTTATCCAAAGTATCAAGGTATTAAAATTAGACAACAAATTAATTAAAATAAATTTTCTAATTTCTCCCGGTTTATAAAATTGTAGAGAAAATTTGCTGTCCATAAAAGTCTTGAACTTCAGATATGTTTTACCTGCGTTACCCCAATTCATCAATCAACATCAATTGGAAGTTTTAGCTGATATTTATTCACCAACTGATTGGTTACTATAAAAACAAACAACCGTGGTCTGTATTTTAATAAAAGTACTCCTGGTTGAGATTATAGAAATTATTTTTAAAAGATGTTCGGAAATTTTTAGGATTCAGCAATGTTGAACAGTCCACATCCGGATGTGATCATTTATACGCACCGGTAAGGTTTGACTGGTAAATCTATAGTCAATCGACTATAGCTTATTATATTTATTATTCAAAAATTAATTTTGTCTTAGGCCCCAATAACCTCTTTCGAGGAAAGTTGAAAATATTTTTATTATTTGCATTACTTATATATATATTTATCTCTTATAGGTAGAAGCTGCGTTAACCAATAGTCCTGATGATCCAGAACTTATGAAACTAAAAACTGATTTAGAAGAAGTAATTGAACTTACTGCTGAACTAGTAAGAACGCAAACTCAACCTAAAAAAGAAACTGGTTCGTAAAAAATAAATAAATAAGAAAAATAAAATGATTAAACAATTAAATAATATAATACCTACCTGCATATTAACTATTTTTCATTACTTGTTCTTAGTTCAAATAAAAAAAGAATCATCATATCAACCTGATATACTACCATCTGTTACAAAGACGAAAGGTGAATGGAAATCAGGAGACAGATGTTTAGCACAACTTGCTGATGATGGCAAATTTTATGAAGGTACTATTGAAACTATTGATGGAGAAGCTGTAGCAGTTTTAATAGATGGACAAAAAACTGCTGCAGTTACCACTATGGATTATATTAAAGATTTGCCTAGAACTCATCCTAATGAAATGAAACATAAGTATGAAATTAAATTTTGAAGTTTTTTGTTTTATTTTTAATATATATATATATATATTTTTAGAAAGCAACCTGTTGCTAAATATAGAGAATATCAAAAAAAAAGAAAACTTGCTAAACAGCAGAGATTTAAACAATTAGAAGAAGAAAGAGAAGTTGAGAAAAATAAATGGCTTGCGTTTGCTACTAAAGTAAGTTTTAATATCTAATATTTTAAATAGTTGTAATTATTATTTATTTAAATTTTGTAAGTTTTTTTTTCCTTAACATGTTCACTGCTGCTCATATTTGACAGGGTGAACCTTGGTACATACAAGTAATAGGCATGATTTTTATCACAACACCAATTAAATCTTACTCATTGTATAAATAACGTTAACAGCAAATATCCCAATGCTGATTGAATTATGAGACAATTTAAATTAGTTTATTGAATGACACCAATCAGTGGTGTCTACACTATTGACGTCGTTAGTAGCAAACATGTTAAATTATTATTAATAAATATAAATTTAAATTTATGGATTTTTGAATGATTCAATTAATGAATCTAACAATATGTTATTTTTTATTTGCTTAGGGTGTAAAAAAAGGCATACCGAAAAAGAGTATATTTGCTTCTCCCGATAATGTTAATGGAAGAGTTGGTATTGGTACCTGTGGCTTAGGAGGAAAAGGTATGACAGAATTTCCAACAGCTGAAAAAAGAAAAAAATAAGACTGCAATATTTATGTATTATATTTGAAAATTGTAAAAAAAATATTTAAATCAATCCATCATATCAACATATTTGTTTGATCTTCATGAATTAATGTTTTTTTTTTTTATTATTATTAAATTAGATATTACTTTTCGGTGTCTATATTTGTACATTTCATTCATAAATATAAGTTACATATATGTGTGTGTTATTAACTTAAATGTACTACTTTTTAAATTTTATTAACAAAAATAAAACAAAAATTCAAGTAAAAAATTAATACTTTTACAATAGTTTTAATTCAAAATGTAAATAGTTTATATTTATATTAATAAAATTAAGCAATCATAAGATTTCAAAACATAATTTGTTTATATAATTCAATATAAGAAATAATTTAAATAACTGAATAAATATTTAATAGTATTTGGTTAATAATTTATTTACTTTAAATGATGTACAACAATAAGAATGTTGAACAATGTGTATGAGTATTCTAATATTATTTGGCATTAATTGATTTAGTCGATCACTTAAATTCCAGATCAAAATAATCATTCATATTTTCTTTAAAATCATTAGTTATTATAAATTTCTTTTGATCATGCTTTGTATTTACTATGAGTATGTATTTTAATTAGAACTAGATTGAAATCTGACTGAAATTATATAAAATCAAATCAAAAGTAACATAGTGAACAAATAGCAACAGTTTTATTTTAATTTCTTAGAACTGGAAAAATCCATATTATTACCTAAATATTTGCATAATAAAGAGTAAAGGCAATAACAGTGATTATGATGATTGTTTTGACAGTATATTTGAAAACGCAGAACAAAATAAAATTGAAAATCAACCTGTATTTGTGACCAGAAATTTAGAAAATATAGGAAGTATGGGAAATTTATTTAAACTGTTTTGTGTATCTCAATTAAAAAATGTTTTTCCAAACTTACACACTTTATTTTATATCACTATATTATGCCAGTTTCAAGTTGTTCCCTGGAAAGATCTTTTTCTAAGTTTAAGCTTGTGAAAACAAAATTAAGAACTACAATGAAAAATGAACGTTTGGAAATCCTTTTAAAAGTTACTTGTGAACAGGATTGTGTACCAAATGTAGAAAACGTTATCAATATTTTTGCCAATAAATGTACGGAATTATCAAAAACACTTCTATGTTAATACTACTAATAGTATAATTGATTTTTAAACAATTTTAATAAACTTTTATTATACTGCATTTACATTTTTAAAGTACGTATTATCTACTCTATATGAAAAAAACCACCAATCAAAGAATATTTTTTTTATGAAAAAAAAAGTAATACAATCTGTTAAGAGTAAATAAAATTTATGTTTTTTTTTATAATATATTTTAATTACGTGTTTTTAAATTTGTAATGCTTAATGTACACAATAAAATTGATAGTATCATTTTGTAACCCCTAACTCCCCTGCCATATTAAAAATTATTTGATACAAATATTATAAGATAAATAAAGAAAAAATATATACCTACGTGTGGTGGGTGGTTAAATTAATTGGATCTAGTTGGCAACATAAAATTTTTGATACATCGGCGCCACTGGTTACACTTGCTTAAAAGCTTCTGTTTAGTGCAAGAGTTGATGTCATAATACTTCATAATAATTTTTCGGAGTACTATTTTTTAAAATAAAGAAATGCAATTATACAATATTATATTTTGATTGTATTTCTATTACACAAAAAGTTATCCATTAAATGTAAAAATATAAAGAAAATACGTGAAGTGTAAATTACGGGTTTCCATTTCACGAAATGGACAAAATAAACGTGCATTACATAAACCTAAAACCATTATTCATGATATGATCTAAGTTCATAAAATGAACATTTATTTCGTGAAATTTAAGATTACACTTATTTCACTTATTGTCCATATTTTGGTCAAGCCAAAAAATAAACTATGCGAAATGCTGCAACATTTCAACTGCAATTACATTATTGACATATAATGTGTTCCTATCAGACGCATCTGCACTTTTTTCAAACCACTCGGCTGCATCTGCGAATTTCAAAAGTTCAAAAAGTCGCGCCATTTTCCTACCCTTGGGCATCGATTACCTGGTAAAATTTAATCGAGCAAAAACCCTTATCACCGGATAACATGCCAAATATTAGCAATAATATGAATAAGACCCGTCATTATATCACTCACACTCCAAGGTATGTGCGTACGATTTCCTTAGAACAAATCCTACATCGAAATCATTAATTTGTCCGTCGATACCATCGCGTGTCGCGCTGACCCGTTGGGCCATCACGGTTAAACATGTATACTTGCTGATCGAAAATAATCACGAACGATGCTGCTACTAATCGGCAGATAATGACGTATTGAACCGGCGGCGCGAATCACATGACATAGTTTATAGTGTTACACTCCGGATAGTCGGTGATGAACGGCTCTTCTGCTGCATATCCACTCGATCGTACAATGTCTAAATTTTTGAAACTAGCGCACAAGTTTAATAGCTTCTATTTGAACGGTACGTATTCTAACATTTTTAACGTTGCACTATGGATGCGATACAGTGTCTTAACCCGTATTTAGTAATAATGATGATTATAACAATATTTTTTATATACTTTGTGAATATGCAGGCTTGCAGAAAAAAGAATGCCTCGCATTCATCGTGGATGGCATCCAAGTGGGTTTGGTCCGAGCCACTGTCATGTCAGAATTAAGTCGCTATCCAAATGTGTTTATAGTCAACCCCAATAGTGTGACGTTGAATCCGGCATTCAGGAACTATGATGAGCGTTCAGCAAATATAGAGTCTGTACTTAAAGATATGAAAGATAAAAAGTTATTTATAACGCTGAAAGGGTGGAGGGATGAGGTATTAATCCTAACTTATATTTTATTATTATTTATAACATAAGTAATACTAATAACTATATGATTCTACTAATTATCTATTTTGTTCCTTCCAAAACAACCACTTGAAGTTTTAGTTTATAGGAAAATAATTTTATAAATTTTAATATTTAGTGTTATGAAGTACGTACAATGTTTGCTGAACAACCGTTGCTAAAAATGGATCGCTCTGCTACTTGTAAATAATCCAAAATATAAATTCTTTTCAACAAGATAACATCATATTTTGATTATCTACAGGTTTATTTGGCATTTGCAATTATGGTGTAGATATAAATGGTTATGTTAATCACCCACAAAAAGGATTATGCATTTGGCTTCAACAGAGGTCTTTGACTAAACAGACATGGCCTGGAAAATGGGACAATATGGTTGCTGGGGGCTTATCAGTTGGAAATAGTGTCATAAAAACTGCTCATAAAGAAGGGGAAGAAGAAGCATCATTGACTGCGGATCTTTTAAAAAATTTGCATTCTGCTGGCACTGTATCGTGAGTATTTTTTCTTTCTAGTATCCCTTTTTATGTACGACTAACTATAACTTTGTTTCAGTTTTTTCTATGAGAGTGAGCGAGGATTGTTTCCTGATACCGAATTTGTATTTGACTTAGAATTACCACAAGACTTTGTTCCTTGTAATCAAGATAATGAAGTAGAAAAATTTGAACTTTTGACTGCAAATGTTAGTACTTAATTTTTAGAATTTTTTTTTAATATTAAATATGGACTTATATGGAAAATAAATATCTAGGAAACTGTGAACAGAATTTTATCACCAGATTTCAAGACTACTAGTTGCCCTGTGATAATTGATTTTTTGATTAGGCATGGAATTATCAATCCAGAAAATGGTAGGTTAAATATCAAACACCAGTTTCTGCTTATTAAATGTTTAAAAATCTGTAAAGTCATTTATTTATATATTTATCAAGTTTATCATTTTTACTTCAAATTTTACAGAGCCTCGTTTTCCAGAATTGGTTGAATTATTACACATACCATTACAGTCTCTTTATAAGAAGAATGACAATAATATGTTGATTGAAAACAGCTATTCAAAAACAGAGTGAATTTTTTGTTATGTTAATTAAATTAATATCTTCTTGCGTTTTATCTTTGCTTATTTTTAAATTTAACTTCTCATTCTTTGTTTGATTTTGAGTTATAATTTATTTTGCCAAATATTTCATAAATTCCATTAGGTTCCTTCCATTTTCATTGTGATACATAAATTAAATGCGTACCTCACGCCCTAATATTTTGTTATTATTTAATTTTAATTTTATAACTACCATTTTTTTTTCTATACATTGTTATTTTTTAATGATTATTTAACTACATTGAATTAATAAAGCTGATTATTTATTAAGATTTAAATGTTTTTATACTATTCAATTAAGTTTTGTTAAATATAATTTGACAAATTTTAAATAGACATAATATTTCCAATTATTAAAAATTTTGAGGTTTGACTAGTTCAGTCTTCATTTTTTATTAATAATACTTAAATTATTGTAAACATCAAGTAAAAATATGTAGCATTGTACTGGAGTGATAATAAAATTACATATATTGTTTATAAAAATATTGTGTAACAATTTTATGATTTTTATACAGTAAATGTAATTTAATACCATTACTACTTTTTTTTTTTTAATATTCTGGTTTTTATTTGTAATTAATTTTTAGTTGTATTAAATATATGTATTATGAAAGTAAATAATATTGCAGTAAATTATTATTTATAATGTAATGCACATATTTGATGTGTACTTATATTTTTAAAATATAATTAGTTGTTGCTGCTTGAAATGTATTACATTTCAAATTTATATTTTTCTTTTAATTCTGTTGAATAAATATAATGATATCTAAAGCAGCTGTTGCCAACCAGTCAATCGCGATTGACTAGTCGATCTTTCTAAGAATATACAGCAATCATTAAAAAAATTAATTTTACCACTATTGATTAATCGAATAATGAGAATATTAGATTATTATTATTATGAAAGAACAATAATTATGTTAATTATTCTTTGAAGCTTAGACCTTTTTTTTTTTTTTTGCTTATCAAACAAATCTTTTCCTAAATTTCCTAAATACCTGAATTCTCCTGGATGTCGATCACCAAGGAGTTTAAATTTCAAATGTAGTTCACTTATTTGAAAAGGTTGGCGACCCCTGATCTAAAGGATCAAAAAAAATATATAGATACCTTTTTTTAGTTAAGCTATCCATATATTAGAATTTTAGTACTTTAACTAAAGTGAATTAATTATTTAATATATTTACTAAACATTTTAATACAAATATTTTTTCAAAGAAACTGATTTAATTTAAATGTATTTTAGATGTTATTATTGATATGATGTGACGTCTTATTTTAACGTAAATTAGATTAAAGGTTACAATAGGTCATTGCTTTTTCAAAAAAAAACCAATTTATAACACTATAAAATGATAAGTGTAATTAATAATAATTATGTTTAAAGTTTAAAACGTTCTATCAAAATATTTAATATCAATGGGTCTTGAATTTGAAGTTATTCATTTTAAATATCATTCAAAAATAATTTCACTATAATTATGGTTTACTTACAAGTTTTTAGATCTAAGTAAAAAAAAATAAATGTAAAGGTTTTACCATAATGTCTCACAAAATAAAACATATAATATTGAAAATTGGTTTTTTCTTGGTACATTACTACACTTCTTCTTCAGAGGATGTCATTTCCCGATGGATTTCTTAATAATTGCGAAAAACAATTATAAAAAAAAAGACCAAAATTTACGGCTTACCGGTTTTCAACAAATTCGAATTTTTATTACTTTACTTTTTTATTTTAATTTTTTTTTAACTCGTAAAATAGTAATCTTAGATACAGTAGGTCCGTTTAAGACGCTTTCGCTTCATACGATTTCCTGCGTAATACGCTCATTTTCACGAGTCCCTTGATTTTAAAAGCGGTTAACATTTAAATGACTCCGGATAATACGCTTTGTATTCGCGAATAAGATGGTCTATTTCAATGATGTTATGTAGTATGAAATTAATAATCACAATATCAAAATCAATGATGATTTTCAAGATCTAGAAGAGTTTCCTGGGTATGCAGAAATTGATGATGAGTATCTTTAAAAGTATTGATCAGATAACTACTGATAACATTTCATTTGCTGATGTCAGTACTATAGACAGTGCCGCAATAACCGTACAGGTTGTGTGCATAGTGTACCGCGCACACGGGCCCTAAGGCTTACATACATTTGGGGGGCCCCTAGTCCCAGTCTAAAATAAACTACACTTTACAAACATACAATTATTTAATAATATTATATTATTATTTTATAATAAAAAGAAACTTTTTTTAAAATTCCGTTAAGAATGTTATAATATTTATTTAATAATGAGTCCATTGAGTATTTGAGTAGGCATACAACATATCTACCTAAACTACTTAAATAAATAATTTACTACATAAATTATTTAATTATGTAGTGAAGTATAATATACAACAGTTGTAGGTATTTAATTTGATATATATATATATTGATATATATCATACACTAATTGATGTAAAACGTGTTTTAAAACCTAAAAAAATTGATACTTATAAATAAGACGTACCTACAGCAAAAATAAATCCTAGGAAGGGGCCTAATATAATTACCGCACACGGGCCTCTTATTTTGTAGTTGCGGCACTGACTATAGAGGAAGAAAGCGAAGAGAAGAAAAAGGATGATACAACACCAATTCTACCCGTAACAAATGCATTTCATTATGTACCTGTAAACGAAATAAAATGATTAATTTCACTTTTTGACATTGCAAATGAAACATTACAAAATCTTAATAAAGTTGAAAACTTCCTCTATTCAAAAAATACTAAAAATTGATAATTTTCTTAATGCAAAAGCCTAAAGGTGTGCTCTTGCTGCCCCTGGACGGTTTGAATATATTTGTAAGGGCCGAACTGGTCCAAGCTGGACCGCCACACTGGTAATGCTTAATACAAAATAAGTTGGTTATCCAAAAAGTGTATTGTTACCAAGCTAATATTTTCCGTTTTTAAACTTTAAATAGGCTTTGAAACTTAAATTTGAGCTTAAAAATGTTAACTTAATACTCATGTATGGGCCGTTAAAAATATTCGCTGCCCCCAACTTGAAACTCTGCGCACACACATGCCCGTCAGTTGCAATGTCTTCGATTACCACGTGCCCAAAATCCTCATCATCTCTTGACACTTCTACATCCCGTGACATGTGTACAGAGCCGTGGAGAGAGAAACCCGGGCATCTTAATTTTTTCTGCAGTGTTCATAAAATTCTCATCATTAATTGTGTTTAATTTTTAATAATTTGTAGTCCCTAATTTCCAGGCTCAGGGGGATCATCCCTTTCCCCCTTTCTCGCCAGGCTTGTATGTGAATAATTTTGGGCATGTGGAGCCAGGCCCGTATTTAAAAATTTGGCGCCCCCGGGCATATAATGATTAAATAAATAGAATGAATACTTAACGGTGAATGATTTTTTTTTTTATATCTAAGAAAAAATACAATCTGTTAATATTTACTTTTAGAATTTGTGATATTTAAACAGAAAAGGATATAAAAAAAATATAATAAAATTACAATCACGGCCTATTTAGAATATATTCACAGATATGGCCAACAAACATTTCATTGCAATTGTTTTAAAGTTTAAAAGGCCAATATAGCAATATCATTCACTCATTCTTCTATCTCACCCGATCTAGGAGTTTTGCCTTTTTTACAACTTATTTTGATATACTGTTCATGATTCATGGTAAAAAAATAAAAACAGCATAACGAACATAATTTTATATGGCCACATAAAACTTTTAAATGGCCTGCTTAAATTCATACATATTTGAAAAAAACTGAAATTACACTTCTGCTTAAATTTCAACACCAAACACATTTTACAGAAAATACTGCACCGTGAACATATTTATTTATTTAATTTATGGTCTATTACAACCGATTAGATATTAGTTCGTAATAAAAATAGTAATAATAACGTATATCTGACCCTATATTTTTATATATTATGTAGTGTAAATTGATTTAGAAAAACATTAGTCTAATTTCCATGGTGTTTTTACGGAAGATATTGAGCTAATAATTTCAAAATCCTGTTTATTGACGTCACTTTATTATTGAATTTGAATATTTATAAAAAATGAACCGACGCCAAGCAATTATTTCGTAACTACGTGCAGTAACTATGTATTGTTAGCAGTGTTAGTATTATAATATACAGTATATATAATAGATTATACAACGTTAGTATATGAACGGCACCATCGCGTCTGACTTAAAGGCCAAACATATTAGAATATAGCAATTTCAAGTTCTTCAGAAGGGCTATTCAAATTTTTCGATATTTTAAAATCTTCACGGGTTTATTTCAAAAGTAATTTTTAACTTATATTTTAACCAGATATGTCGTAAAATTTGCCGTATAATTATAATTTATTAAGTAAATTAGACTAAATTACTCTATAAATATTTCTTAAGAAATTCTGGAGCGAAAATGTAATAATAATAATAATACAAATATTAAAATTTTTCGATTCGAGCATGGACGTGGTAGATAATTAGATTCTAAACACAAATACACACAATTAAGTTAAACGATTTTGTCAAAAAGGAGGGATAATATGTCCGGACAAGATGGTATAGATAGTATGATATATATATAAACTTTTCTGATTAAAACAATACCTACCTAATTAAAGTTAAATTTTTTTTTGTGCTTGTAATTTATATAAATTAAAAAATGTGTAAAGAGTTCATTAAATTATAATTTATGATTATACATAAAAACCTAATTTAACACAGTTCACATAATTTTGGACACTTTATTGTAAAATGTAATACAAAATTGGGAAATTTGAACATACAATTTTAACAAATTGGACATTTGTATAATTTTTGGCCTATAAGCTATCGATGACATTCATAATACCTTGTACTTATAACAAACGAACATAATACAGGTATGAGCAGTTTCGCTTTCGATTAGGTAGGATTGATATCGGAATCACTCGAGTGAGTCATGAACTGATCCCCGTAATACATTTCCCCGTCTAGCGATTTGATATGAGATATACAAATAACAATAGTATAAAACAATTTATTTTAATTCCACGCTGTATAATATGTTTATATAGCTTATAATATTTGATATTTGTTAACTGATCTAATAAATAATTTAAAGTTGTTTAGTACTAGTGTTTTGTTTCCACGTTTACTTTCGATAACTTTAGATAAAGGAGGTGTGGGAGCATTGCCCCCCATAAGTTTGCTATATAAATTAATTTTGATCCCCCCCATGAAACATTCTTAATTACGCCACTGGTTACGATCAACCGTCAACGAAACGTAATAAATTATACCCAATATAATGAAACACGATATAAATTTTTTTTTTTAATTAAACATTTATAATGAACGCGAGTGACGATTTGGTTGTGCGTTCCAGTGAATTTTTCGATGAAATGTTAAGGGGTACGATTTTTAAGGGCTACCAAAGTTTTAGGGACCAAATTCTTTTACTCTGATTAATGTCAAATCAGTTAAATGACTAGCAGTAGAGATGTATTCAAAAATTTGACGATTAAGTGCTAAATTATATTTTATTTTTTCGTCTCCCCAGCTCTTTCCACTAATAAACATCATCAACTCGCGGTTGCACTATTTTTTATAGCTGCAGCAGGTGCAAGACAGACGAGAAGTCTGTTTGTATTGACTGATCCATTGAAGTCGAAAATTACGCTTGGCTCGTGTTTACACACGCTGATAGTGAACGCGGCGTTATCAGACAATATGTTATTGTTTTTAACAATTTGCGTTTACCGTCGCACGGCCTCATCGTCCAAACAAATATTACTTATCGCCATTCGCGGTAATAATATGCCGATTTGAAATCGATCGACCATTGCCGTATTGGCTGGACGGTTGAAGCCTAGATCGACGGCGACCAACAGTCCTCTTCACCAAACCGCTGACCGGTCATGTCATCCTCTGGAGTTACTCGTACCGTTGCAGATCACCTGTTGCTGTGCTGAGATTTTCGCATGTCATTTCTACTGCGCCGCCAGTTTTCAGCAGGTAAAATTCCATACACGTGCAGCGTTATAGTGGCTTTGTGCGGTGCTCAATGTATGGTCTCCCGAAACAAGACTGTACTGTTTATAATAACAGAAATATTATATTTCTATGCTGCATATTAATGTTGTCATATAATAACAATTGTGTTTAACTTCAGAATGGCTTGTTTTGGATTTGACAAGGAAACGCCAGAAGAGCCTGGACAGGTCAGAGTCAGAGGGTGTACAGACGTTTTATGGCTGAGTATCTTTTTGGTTTTTTGGTGTCTAATGGTATGTTATATATTCGATAAATAATATACATCATTATAGTTGTATTCTATACCATTCTTTTTCGATTTATCTGTATCTTGTACCTATGATTTTTATAGATTTTTATAGCTGTTTTCGCTTTTGTTTATGGTGACCCATTGCGTTTGATCAACGGTCATGATAGTTTTGGCAACACTTGCGGTTCATCTAGCAATTCCAAAATGGGCGAACTCTCTGGCCTTGATACTACTGACAAAAAGTATGCTTAAAGACAATTGGAATTTTGAAACATTGGCAGCTATGAATATAGATTCAATTACTCTTTGAATTCAGGTTCCTGTACTATTTAGATCCAGCCAACATAGAACATAGTCTTCAAATATGTGTAACACAATGTCCAGATAATAATATATTGGATCTAGATGGACTCCAAAAGTTTTACAATCGAACCAAATCAGCACTTTGCAGGTAATATTTTTTAAATTATCCAAAAACAAAAATATTAATATTTTGTTAAAATATTTTTTGTAGCTATAATTTTGATTTGAGTAATGTTTCTTATCATGAAGCACAAAACAGAACTACTATTATTACCACTTCCTTGGGACCATGTCCTCCATTTCCTATTTACAAAAGTCATCATGTTTTGAATAGATGTGTTCCTGAAGTATTAACCAATGAAACATTACCCCTGATTTATAATATTTATGGCATGATGAATGATTGGGACTTCACTGAAGAAATATTAAATGATATATATAAAACTTGGCCTCAAATGTTATACTACTCCATATTAGCTTTTGGCAAGAATACACTATTTAATTTATTACTGATTAATTTTATTAAATCTTATAGTAATATTTTTTTTTTGTATTGTTTACAGCATTAACGTTCATCATCATCCTTTTAGTTAATTTATTTGCAAAAATGATAGCATATATATTATTAATTGGTGTTAGTTTGATTATACTAGGTGAGTTAAATTAAAAATATATTTCATTACTTTGTTGTGTATATTAATTAATTAAGTTTAGTTAACATGATTTTACTTTGGTGGGAGTATTTTGTTTTAAAATCGCGCCTGGACAATACTATTGAAGCACAAACATTAAGTGCTGATGCGTGCAATGAACATATGTTTCTAATACTTTCAGTCATCTTTACTATATTTTCGGTAAATTTAATTGTTTTACTTCAAATCTAATGGTTCTAAATAAATTTTAAATTATAGGTAATTGTACTTTTATTGGTATTAACTATGCGTAAACGATTACATTTTTTGTCCACTTTGTTTCACGAGTCAGCTGATTGCTTATCCAAACTCCCTGCCTTATACTGGCAACCTTTGAGTACATTTGTTATGTTACTTGGCTTGTATTCATTTTGGATCATAACAATTCTTCATCTTGCTACAGCAAGTATGATACGTTAAATAGATCAGTAGAAAAATTAAATTTTTAATAAGTTAAATATTACAGATTACCCAGGGACAAGATCGTTAAAATTATTAACCAATTTTGTGGATCAAAATATAACAACTGATAATTCATCCATGTCTGACCCATCAATGCCTGATCCATTTGAGAAAAATCTAGCATTTGTTCATGGTAAGTTTTTTTTATATATATAATTATGTCATTGGTAGTACTATTGTTAATTTTCCAACTTTGTGTTTCAGCTGGATTGACCGCAGTTGAGTTTAAAGATGCTACCTGGGTACGTTACATGTGGTGGGTATATATAATTGGTATAATATGGTCATCTGAATTTGTATTGGCATGTCAACATATGATTATTTCTGGGGCAGTTGCAAAATGGTATTTTACCAAGTATGTATTTCATTATATTAATTTATGTCATTTTACTTGCGTTATATTTTATTGCAGTGGAAAAAATAAGAAATCTATTGTCCTTTCTTCAGTTTACAACTTAGTATTCTATCATTTGGGTTCAATAGCACTTGGATCCCTGTTAATTATTCTATTCAAAATTCCAAGGCTCATATTGACAACATGCCATTCTAAGTACCTATTAGAATTTAAATTTAATATATTCAATTGTTACTTTATCTTATAAATTATTGTTTTTAGAAGTGATACAACATCAACAAAAAAACCTTGGATGAAAAAAATATGTGCTTGTTGTTCTTATTCATTTGACAATTTTTTCAAGTATATCAATCATAACGCATATACTATAGTTTCAATGGAGGGCATTGGATTTTGTTTAGCTGCATCAAGGGTATATTATTTGAATGATGACTAAATATTTTTTTATTTTCAGCAATTGAAAATGTTTGATGATTTATTTTTACAGGCTTGGCATGTTATAATTGGTAATGCTTTGAGATTAAGTACCATAAATAGTATTGGAGACTTCATATTATTCTTAGCCAAGTGTTTGATTACTATGATTATTGGAACGGCAGCATTGTTCACTTTGCGATCGAATTCTGAATTGCATTTTTATGCTATACCACTTATCATTATATGCATATTTGCTTTTTTCATTGCTCACAGTGTAATTTCATTACAAGAAGTAATAACATTATTTTATTTTTAACATTAAATAATTTATTGTAAAAAGAGTGCATTATATTTTTATAAATAGTTCATATGAACTAAATAAATAAATTATTACAACTTTAAACTTTGATAAATATAATAGTTTATAATCACTATGTTTTAATATGTTTACATTAATTTTTACTCTCTATTTTCAGGTTGTAATTGATACATTATTCCTGTGTGTATGCGAAGACAAAAATATTAATGGTGAAATGTGGCACAAGAGTCCTATAATAAAACTGTCCAAGCCTAAAAAGCAAATTGTAAAAAATTCCAATAATATCTAATATGTGTAAGCTTTTTTTAAGCAATAACTTAATTCAAAGACAATGAATTTTCCTTTTGTGCTTTGTTAACAGTTGTTTTAAAAGTACTCGTTTTACATTTATCAGCTTAGATTAAGTTAATAACATTATTAATGTGCTTTTTAGATATTTTTTGTATGACATTTATAAATATGTTTTATTTTTAAAATAGAAATTATCAAATTGTTGAAACTTATATATTTAATTTAATTTATAATATTAATTTTAAGATAACAAAGATATATTTATTTACTAGTATGGAATTAATAAATATTTATTTACACCACATTATCTAGTGTATAATTTTGTTTTAATTCACTTGTAAAATTTTTAGTTTTTAATTAATTTTTAGTTTAAATAGCTAAGGTGTATAATATATATATAGTTTTATATATATAAAACTATTTACTGTATTTGGCAAAAATTAAGTAAGATTGTAGATTTATAACATCTTGAACTCTATATATTCATTATGTATATACAATTTTCCATAATTGATTACTGGGACAGAGGACTTGTAGTACTTGCATGATAATTTTGCACAGTCACAAAAATAGCAGAGTATGAAACAAATATGTTTCATGCTTTAACAAAACTAGTTTTGAAATTTTATTTTGCATATAAACACATATTTCGAGTATTTTTTATTTTTAAGGCATATTTAATACTTTTAATAATTCCGTGTAGTAGCTGATAACCAGAGAACATTAACATTTGAACATATCAATTTAGACTGTTTATACTTAATACTATTTTTAATCATCTGGTTTAAAATTTTCAGTTTAAGGTGACCATAATAATGCAAGAAACAGTTGGAAAGAATTGATTAAATAAAATAAAACAATTTTAGTGCATTTTTGGTAGTCATTTTTACACATTTTTAATATATATATTTTTTTTTTTTAATTTTTTTTTATTATTTTTTTTTTTTAAATTTTTAAGTTCTTAATTGTATTTTTTTAAGGTATTTATTGTATTTTTTAGGGCATTAAAATCCGTGCCCTAATGATGACTATCTTATTTCAAGTATTATCTTTAATTAATTGATTTTTGTAAAGTGGACTAGTCAAATCGTTTAAACAATCGAATTCGGTCACCATTTCGACAAGTTTTTCATCCTCGATGATGGTAAAGAGTACCTTTGATATTAAATTATAATTAAGGTCCCGCGGTTCTGATTTAACTGAACTTAAAATATTTTATTAATATAAATTATAAGACCCAACATTTATTTTGCCCAAGGCCTCGCAAACTCTATCACCGTCACTGCCTATACTTATATAGTTCGCGATATATTTAAAAAACATTTAATAAAAATATTTTTATAACATTTGAAATACTGATATAAAAAATATAAGATGAAACTTAGTACTAAGAAGTAGAAAAAACCCATTTATTTTACGGGACCCCCTCATTTATTTTATTAAATCCGGCACAATAAATAGTTTCTAATAGGCCGATGATGATTATTCTTCATTATCAATTGTTGTTGTTCTGATAAAGTGATAACATACTAATAACATATTGATAACATATGCGCACGTGAGTTCGAACAAATATTGAAATACCAGTACGATCTTATAGGTTGGTGTACTAACGGTGATGTGATGTCACTTCTCAAGAATGAATCTACAGAATCATTATTCTTAGTGCATGTGAAATAGTGCTTAATTATCCGTCAGAATCGTTTTGTTATGTGTGAAATTTTACGATGTTCGTCAACCGTTTAGTTTGGTTGCACTTGAAACGACGATCTTGTGCCTACAGTCAATCAACGGCTTTGAAAAACGATGTATTGGATAAAATCGTGTACAATTCGGTGTTACAGGACAGTAAGAGCTCCCAATATTGGCGTAAAGTGGGAGAAAAAAAAAAAATTTTAAAACGGATAGAATTTAAACATGATATTGAACCTGTATCCTTGCAATACCTAGATGGATATATTGAACAAAAAGATTCAGCTCCAAAGCCTATAGTAGTCAAAGGATCTGAAGACAGACCGCATGTTTTACCATACAGCATTGTCAGTAAAGTTAATTCCATTAACAATGACGAGAAACAAATTGAAGAAAATGAAGATAACGAAATTTATTATGATTGTAAGTTTGAATGTAATAGTATTTTTCCTGCTTTCAAGTTTTTAAACTTTATTTTTGAAACTTTATGTTAATATTATAGATGAGCTCAATGAATTGATGAATAAAAACTGGATGAGTGATTATGAATGTTATGAAGAAAGAAATTTGGAGGAGGAAAATAATATTCCTTCATGGACTTCAAAATATGGTACACCTGATCCATCTATAAACATCAGCCATGTACCTTGTGGTGGCTGTGGAGCATTATTGCAATGTCAGAATGTGTCAATACCTGGCTACTTGCCCAGCGAATTATTTTGTCACTGTTCACCTGAAGATTTGCGTACTATGGTGTGCCAACGATGTCATTTTATGTTGAAGTATAAAACAGCTCTTTCTGTACAAGTTGACCCTATTGATTATCCAAAATTATTATATCCCTTGAAAAAAAAACGAGTCCTTATTATTTTAATGGTAGATTTAACAGACTTTCCTTGCAGTATTTGGCCAAATATAACGGAATGTATTGGTACAAATAAACCTGTGGTAATTGTTGGTAATAAATTAGATTTGTTACCTGGTGATTTTCCTGGATGGATCAATCATGTGCAGAAAACTTTAGTTCAAAGTATTCCGAAAGAAATAAATATCAAACATGTAGCTGTTGTTAGTGCCAAAACAGGATTTGGAATCGAAGAATTAATTAATAAATTACATACTCTCTGGCAAACTAGAGGCGATGTATATTTAATTGGATGTACTAATGTAGGCAAGTCTACAATGTTTAATACATTATTACAATCAGATTATTGTAAAGTAAAAGCTGTTGATCTAGTGCAAAGAGCAACAACATCGCCTTGGCCTGGTACAACATTAAATTTACTTAAGGTAAGGTAAACTTAATCAAATTATTTTGTTTTTATATAAATACATTTTAATTAAAGTTTCCTATAATGCGACCATCCAATTGGAGATTGTATATGAGAACTCAACGTCTTATGTCAGAAAGTAAGGAAAGAGTTCTAGAACAACAAATGGAAGCGGACCAAAGACGCTCACTGAGAATGAAAATTGATGATCTACCTTCTATTATTGGTAAGTTATTTTTAGTATTTGTTTTCCAAATTCAAAAACAAAAATATTTGTTTTCAGGTCGGATTGGTTATACTTTTTACAATCCATTAAGTAATGATACGGTTTTAAAAAAAAATGAAAATGACTCTTTTGCTTCTAACATAGTAAAACCTAAAGAAAATCGTGTCACTAGTAGTTCTTTGGGTTTAGATGAGAATGATCCACAATTTAAATTTAGTAAATGGGTGTTTGATACTCCGGGTGTAGTTCATCCAGATCAATCAATTAATTTGCTTACTACAGAAGAGTTGATGATGACTCTGCCCACCACTGTTATGGAACCAAGAACGTTTAACTTAAGAACTATGCAAACACTATTTGTTGGTGGTCTTGGACGAATAGATTGCTTGAAAACCTCAGAAAAATTTGTACGTTTCACTGTATTTAGTGCTTCTACACTTCCAATCACTGTTTGTGATTTTAATGACGCGGATGAGATTTACAAAAAACTTTTAGGCACACATTTATTTGCCGTTCCATGTGGTGGTAAAAAAAGGCTGGAAAAGTGGCCTGGTTTAAGTTGTTACAAGAAACCAATTCAATTAACTGGAATTGATCATAAAACTAGTTGTGCAGATATTGTTCTGTCGTCTGCTGGTGAGTATTATCGATTTCCAATTTTGATAATTTAGTATATTTAAAACAATTTTATATTTTTGTTCAATAAGTTAACTAGTTTATCATGTATTTAATAATTAAAAATGTTTTTAAAATTTTATTTAACATTCATTAAAACAAATAAAAATATTTATTAATTATAAACATGTCTAATTTTCTCTCATTCCTTGTATAAAATATAATTTATTTGTATTGTTTTCAAACCTCTAATTATTTTATTTAGAAAATTAAAATTCAATTTTATTTTCATTCCTGAAGTATTATAAAATTAATTAAATTTATATGGTTTTATGAATATAGTAAAATATTATTTTATTATAGTATATTGATTTGATGTAATAATAAATACTTATACTTTTTATGTAGGATGGGTAGCTGTGACTCCATTTAAAAATGATGTTTGTGATGTACAAGCTTGGACACCTGAATGTCGAGGCATTTATGTTCGTACTACACCATTGTTAAGGTATGCTGTTAACAACCGAGGACCAAGATTAAAATTTACCCCTACATTTTATACTAAAAAGGAGTAAATATATTATATTGTTGATCAATAAAAACGATGTTCATAGGATATATATAAAAATTAGTAATTTTATTTTATGGAAATTATTTTTGATAAAATTGGAATTATTATTATTTTTTTTTTGTAAATATCTTTACGATTTAAGCAGTAAAATTTACTGAGATGTACTATTTATTTTATCACTCATTGTATTTTGACTGAATTTAGAAAGTAAAGTAGGTATATTTTAAAGTGCAATTTCACTAGTTAATTTTAATGATAGAGTAGCCATAAAAAATATTGAGTTGTTTAGAGTACATTCATTTAAATGTGTTAATATATAATAGATATGAGGCTCAACAGTATTTTATTTAATTTGGGAATATAATTCTTGTATTATTAATATCATTATAATTGTTGTAAATCCTTTGTAGTTTTTAAGAAATATAAACTACACAAATCCACTAGTATTTAACTTGGCATTTGAATTCATCCTAGATAACCCTCCTCGTCATTTAAAAATATACTGGTGTCAATATATCTTGAATCTTGAGAGGTATTAACTAAAATTTCTTCTCCCCTCAAAGTCAAAGTTATTTCCATATTAGTAGCTTTTACTCCTAACATGTAGTTGTTATCTTAATTAAGCTACCAAATTGCCTTATTGTTTATTAATATTATAGATTGTAAATATACTTTAGATTAAATGAAATAAATTAAAAATAAAAAAATATTAGGATTGGGACATGTTATCATGAATCTATATTTAAAATAGGTGTGACTAAAATTATTAAATTTTAACTATATTTTATAATTTTGTAGTCAACAAAATTATATTGTTCTATTTGTGAATGTTTAAAGGTGCTCAGTATAAAAAAAAAAAAACTATGTGAAATGACACCCTTAAAATTATGATACAAGTTAGAGTGCTAAGCATTAAGTAAAGTTTTTAATTCACTTGTATTAATGTTAAATTAAATATCACTCAGTATTTAATCCATTATTGTAAAAGTCCAATGCGTGTATGTTTTTATGAAGGAATTTAAATTATAAAATATAATTTGATATATTTTTGAGATAATAAATATTAATCTAATATGTATATAATATGTGTGACGGACTTGTGTCTCGGTGTTGTGATTGCACTCCTCCGAAACGGCTCAAAGGATTTTAATGACATTTTTTTTTTTAATTTGGTAGGTATGAAAAGTTAGGTCGTTAGCCTCATTTCACGTCACACCCCCCATTTTTTAATCGCAATTTTAGTATTTCTGTATGAGGTCACGCGGTAACCCATTTCGTCGCTTCGTCTTGCGTTCGAGTACGATCTAGATATTGAATATTCCGAAATAATATTATCCGAAAGTGATGATTGGTTTTGTGGATAAATAATGTCCCCATTGTCATGCGTTCAAATTTAAATATACTGGCATTGTCAACCGGGATGTGTTGCGCATGAGGAAAAGTGTAACTACCAGTAATTGAAACACTACCTGAACCATTAAAAGGCGGATCAATACAGATTTAGATTCAAACTTGTGCTTGAAGTCCATTCGCACATTTAATTCATGTTATCAAATGACACAAATGGTGATCAATACTACGGTAAATGGTCAACAATTTCTGACTTTAAAAATATTCAATCGTTTGTTAATCATTTTGACTGGCCTACTACCTTCTCACCACTAAACGTTGAATTAGCTTTTAATACGTTTTTCGATGCGCTTCATCAGTCTATTTTACGTTACGTGCTTCTGCGTAATTATACTTATTCCCATTTCCCCCCTGGTTTACCAAAGATTTAAAAGAAATGTTGATACTTAAAAAGAAAGCACACGCAAAATTTAAATTCACTGCTAACATTCCTGACTACCGTGTTTTCTCACTGCTCCGGGCACGCTTTAAATATGAGTCCAAAAAATGTATGCGTAGTTATATTCGCTGTTCTGAAACATCACTTATTAACAATCCTACTAATTTTTGGAAATTTGTCAATAAGCACAGATCCACAGATGATATACCAAAAGTGTTGAAACTAAATGGTCGTTTATCAACTGACGAGTAGGAAGGATGCTGCTAATTTATTCTCGTCGTACTTTTCCTCTGTTTATACATCTGAAGTTATTGATGTGGATCAACCTAACGATGTAAGCTTAAATTTTGATTTGCCCAATAACATTATATTCTCGGAAGATGATGTCTTTCGTGGCTTATTTGCATTACGTAATGTCCAGTCCATTGGTCCTGACGGTTTATCTGGTGAATTCCTTTTCCAATTAATATATATTATATCTTACCCCCTTTTTCTACTTTTTAGGCGTTCTCTTGATGAGGGTATATTTCCGTCTATTTTAAAATTTAATTCTATAACACCCATCCTAAAATCAGGAAATGCCACGGATGTTGCAAATTATCGACCTATATCAATTCTATCCCACTTATCTAAACTATTTGAAAACATATTCTTAAACTGTATTAAACGCTCAGTTAATAACATAATTATCGACGAGCAACATAGATTTCGTACTGGGTGGTCTACAACCACCTGCAACCTAGTATTGAGTAACTTCTTTTTGAAGCTTTCCAAAAACGTTCTTAGGTAGATGTAGTCTACACTGATTTTTACCAGGCTTTTGACTCAGTCAACTACATAGTCCTATTGAAAGTGTTAAGGGCATCCGGATTCGGTGAACCTCTACTCTCGTGGTTTAATTCATTTTTGCTCAATAGACAACAATGGGTTAAGGTGTTTGGTATTAAATTGAACGTATACCCGTTTTCTTCTGGTGTACCTCAAGGCGGTCACCTATCACCTATACTTTTCTTATTATTCGTCAATAGTGTGAAAATTGTTCTTCCTTTTGCCAGAATACTTTGTTTTGCGGACGACATGAAAATATATTTGGAAATCAAATCAGCTGACGACTGTTTATGTCTACAAAATAATCTTGAGTGTTTCTCTATGTGGTGTAAAACCTTAGGCTTGAAGCTTAATCTTGTTAAATGCCGGGTCATGACCTTTTTCAGGTTTCATAATCCAATTCTTTGGAATTATAAATTTTCTGACACTATCATCGAACGGGGTTTTGACTCTATACTTGACTTGGGCTTCAAATTATCAAGTAATCTCAATTTGAGTGAACACATTTCAACGATTTTCTGTAAATCACTTAAAATTCTAGGTTTTTCTAAAGACCTTAAACTATCTAGATCACTCAAATCCCTGTATTGTGCTCTAGTTCGACCCATCTTAGAATATGGATTGGAAATCTGGAATCCTTATACGGTCATCGGTTCAAACCAACTTGAGCGCGTACAATGTACGTTTCTGAGCTTTATTGGTTTCTCCTTAGGTATTCCACGTGAACTTACTCACTCACCCGTTGCTGATGCACTTTGGCTACATACCCTTTCTGAACGTAGACATATGCTTAGCACTAAGTTCTTTAATGATCTTATATTCAACAAAATTGACTCTCCCACCTTACTTTCCTTGATAAATTTTAAAATTCCTCCTTGCTCTACACGTTCTAATATCTCTTTCCATATTCCCAGAGCCACCGATAATTAACAACAATACGAACCTTTCAGAAATCTGATGACTAATGCTAATAATGACCCTTCCTTCCTAGATTCTTACTCTTAACTGCTATTTTCTATGCTTACAATTTTTTTTTCAGAAGTCATAGTTGTCTGTTATACTTCTTTATTATATTGCTTACTCACTAATTACTATTTCGTGTTTATTAGTCTGCTCTTTAATTTATGTTTAACTCATTAAGTTACTTTATCTCATACATTACTGTATTTACTTTGTAAATTATATCATTATCAAAAGGGATTTCCTCTATAAATAAAAAAAATATATAAATAAATAAACAATTAATTCAATGTTTAAAATCAAAGGCCAAGTATACCACAAATTTGGCTAATTGCTATAAATGCCAAACGAACCACTTAAATTTTTAAAAATATGTTTACTTTATGGGCGATGAGGACATCAATCGTATAGGCCCTGAACGCGTGAATACACGTTGCGGCTAACTAACTCAATTTGCCTAAAGTTAGAAGCATTGTCGACGAAAATTATGATCACAAATTAATAATCACAATGAATTATTGAAATTGTTCAAATCGCACATGCACGAATTTCTAAATGGTAATCACGCTATTGCAGCTCTTATTTTTCATAAAAAATTGAACTATTAATTTTCAACGTACAATGTTTAACGGTATAATACTGAGTTCCCTGTACCCGACTTCCATATGATTATAATTTTTAGTACAATGTCAGTAATAATTTTTTTTTACTAACCAAATTGCACATTATAGTTAGATAACTACCAGTCTGCTGTTATTTTTTAAATTGAAAATATACTTATGTCTGTTATAAATCTGAAAACAATTAACAAATTATTTATTTCAATGTGGGATATATAATTAAAAATTTAATAGATATATTTAAGTTCTCATCAGCTGTCTTGCTTAAACTGGCTTCTTGAAAAACACCTTCATATTAGTCTTATTTATTAGTATTTAGTAGGTTCACACCTAGGGCTGGGCTTTTGTCATAAATCCTGATAAAACACCAGTTGAGAAGACGTTCGTAGATTCGATGCGCCTGTTGTTGAAGACGTTACTGGAATCATGGCTGGCGATTGCAAAACGACTCAAAAAATTGTGATTCAAAGAAGGAACAACAATCTGGAATTAATCGACGACATACACCGTTTATACGACGCTCTCCAGTATTCATTAATTTTTTGGAAGGGACAAAACGGATATTGCGTAAACGTTTAACAACTAGATCCTGTCACAAATTACATTTTTTTTTTTTTTTTTTTTTTATAGAGCGTGCCATGAAAAAAATATTAAAAATATTATATTTTGTTATATTATAATTTGATTGTATAATTAATGTATTAGTATAAAAAGGTTAGTTTAGGTACATAGTAATAATAATAAATAATAAATAATAATAATAATAATTATTATAATAATATTGCTTTATTAATTATTTATATTATATTATATATAATAGTAAAAATTTTCGCGTGCCATCTCGGGCACGCGTGCC